ACCTTGGAATCACACTCCTTCCCTGATAGTACAGTCTTTTCTCCACAAACTGAGTAGCTGAGGTGGTTTTCCCATCTGATAACACATCTTCTTTGATTTTCCTTAGCTCTTCATTCTGAATGCTCTCCTCTTTGATGGCTCCCCAATCTATCAGTACTGGTACTGATACAGCAATCCCCTGAGCTCCCCCATACAGCGGTGATAATGCATCCGCTGCTTATTCTCTTAGTCCCGGCCGATAGTGATCTCAAAATCATATTCCAAGCAGCTTGGACAACCACCTCTGATGCTCCTCTGTGACCATCTCTGCTCTAACAAGTACTTCAGGCTCCTCTATCAGTCCTGACAATAAAGTGTCTGCCCAATAAGTAAGGTCTCACTTCTGGATGGCAGTACAATAGCCATAGCTCTCTCTCTCGTAGACAGACTTCACCTAGCCCGGGACGACAGTACCTAACTGAAGTAAGTATGGCCTGTGGTTCTGCATCAACACTGCTCCCAATCCATAGCCTGAAGCATCTGTCTCCACCACAAACACCTGATTGAAGTCTGGCAGAGCAAGCACTGGCACCGTCTCATGGCCTTCTTCAGCTTCTCAAAAAGCTCTGAAGCTGCTTCCCCCCATAAGAAGTTGTCCTTCTTTCAACTGCTCTGTCAGGGCCACGTTATGGTGCTTATCCCCTCACGAACCTCCTGTAGTAGCCTGTCAGTCCCAAGAATCCTCTGAGCCCCTTCAAGGTCTTGGGTTGAGCCATGCCAGCATTGCCTCTATCTTGGACTATACTCAGCAACTCCCTCCTGGGATATCACGTGCCAGCGTACTCCACCCCGTGCCTGAGCGAAAGTCACACTCTTGTTTTGGCCTTTAGCTGATGCTCCTCAGCACAACCCAACACTCACTCTCAGGTGCTCTAGGTGTTCTCCTCAGTCCTGCTATAGATTAGAAATTCATCAAAGAAATACCAACACAAACCTGGGAGGTGTGGCTTGAAGATCCGGTTCATCAAGGGCCTGGAATGTGGCAGTGCGTTGGTGAGGAAAAGCATCATCAGAAACTCGTAGTGGCCCTCATGGTCCTTGAAGGCCTCTTCTGCACCATCTTCCTTCCTCATCCTGATCTGTGGTAGCCTGACTTCAATCGATCTTGGTGAACAAGGCTGCTCCTGTAGCTCATCCATCAACTCGTCAATCACAGGGATATGGAAACTTATCAGGCACAGTCTTCCTTGTTGAGAGTCTTATAATCAACAAGACCTCCAACTTCCATCTTCTTTCTTCACAAGCAGACTGGACTAGAGAAGGGACTCATCACTGGGCTGAATGATCCCCTCTAGCATTTCTCCCACCAACTTTTCAATCTCATCTTTTCTGCAACTGGTAGTATCTGTAAGGCCTCACACTGATAGGGGATACTCCCTCTTTCAGGATAATCTGGTGCTCCTGCTCTCTGTCAGGTGGTAGTTCCCCGGAGGTTGGACACATCCTCAAATTCATGCAGAAGAGGCTGAACCAACGTGGGAATGGGCTTTCCTCCCTCCTCCTGTTCCTCCAGGCTCTTGCAACTCCACAAGGAATCCTCCTCCTTCCTCATGGATGATTTCAACATTGATCGGAGTGACACTCCAGCTCTGGACAATCCTGGTTCCCCTCTTTCAGCTTCACCCGCTTCCCCTCTACAATCAGCTCCATCACATGGTCCCCCAGTTCACCTTGGTTTCACCCAAGTCTGTAGCGCACTTCATCCCAAAATGTATGTCTACACTAGGGGTAGGAAGTCCATCTTACCAACCCTGATCTCCTGTAGCCTCATCTCCACCCCTTTGGCAATTCCGGGGCTTGGACTCAATCTTCCCAATGTTCCATCATCGACCCCATATGCCTGTCTCAGTAGGCTCCATCCCAAGCCCTTCGCCACTTGGTGGAATGACAATTGTGGTTAGCCCCACTATCAATCAGGAACATACCTCCCATCCAAGGATCTTCCCCTTCACCTTATCGTATGGCGAGGAGTAATCCTCATCACAGAATTGAGGGAAGACCTCGGCTACCTTCCAACTGGGGATCAACTGTCTCCTCATCAGAATCAGTCACCCCTCTTCAGGCGCCTCGTCTATTATAGACGGTCTGAGAGCCAAGGGCGCGATCCTTGCACCTGTGCCCTGGAACCAACTTCTCCTCACAATCTGAAACAAAGGCCTGGCCCTCTTCTCCTGCATCTCTCCTAGTCAATTTCTTGAAGCTTCTAGCCAAGATCTGGTCACCCGCTCTTCTCCTTTTTCCCACTCTCTCTAGGGAAGCTAGGGCTTGGCCCTTTTTGGAGCCAAGTAAGTGGTAGTTGTCCTGGTGCGACCTCCTGAGTGGTTGTTTCCGCCAATTTCGGGCGGTTGTCTCTCTGGTTCTCCACCAACTGAGCCAACCTCCATCGCCCTCCCTCAGGTCTCTTCGGTCTCATGACCTTTTCACAACATCTCTAATTTTCGGCTGAGGGCCCTTTCATAAAGTTTCCCCCCAACAGTTACTGTTTGAATAAGCCCTCCATGTCCATCCCACCAAACTCCTCAAATTTCTTCATGTATTCTCTCACTGTTCTCTCCTTGAGTGAGGGCATTAGAACTGTTCTGATATCTCCCATGGGCTCCCCCCCTGAATCTCTCCCTGATAGCCTCCTTGAATTCCCTCCAGTCCTCCACCGGTTCTCACTTATCCATTACTTGAACAGGCAAATGCGCCCTCTCCAACACATACTAGAAGCCGATCAAAAATCTCTCCTCCTCCATCAGGCCATTCACTGCAAAATATCTCTCCACCTTGTGGATCCACTCATCCACATTTCCCTCCTCAAAATACTGGCATTTTCAGCTTCCTGGCCCTCCTGGCCCGTGTCCACCCGTATGCCCCTATTCCCCCATGGCCTCCTCTGTCCAAGCTATGGGGTCTTCCCAGTTCTCTCTCTCCATATCGGGGCTCATCCTCCCTTCCTTGCCGCCGGTAGTCATCTTCCCCTCGTGCCCGCCATGGTGGTTATAGATCCCCCATGGCGCGGTCCAATGGGTCGGGCTCCGACCGTCGCCATCATCTTCTCTTCCCTTCCACTAAGTCTCTCCTTCTTGTAATCATTTCTTTCCCGCCTGATGGACTCCCGAGTGGCATCCTTCCGTTGCTGTCAAGCAGTTCCACCTCCTCTTCCTCTTCTGGATTCACCTTTCTCTTACCCTTGCCTCCCACTACCTTCTCCTCTTTTCCTCCGCTGCCACAGCTCCTGCTGCCTTTCCAACACTTTTTCATCATTTCTTCCAATACCCTGAATTTCCCTTCCACATTCTCGCTCAATGTCGCCATTTTTTCCTCCAGATCCGCTTTATATTGACCCATCTCGGTCTCCAAGACTTCTACCCGCTTAGATGCCATGGGAACCAAAGAGATGCCTCCGGATCCACCCAAAAAATGGAGTTTTCGGTAGAATTCAGTCTCCAACAGTAAAAAAAAAAACTGCTGTTTTACCCAACTGCTGCTCTCAAAAACCCCCAAAAAAACTGGGAAAACAGCCTCCGACAACCCAAATTCTGCGATCTCCAGCAATATCCTTCCTTCCGCAGTGAAAAACACCCTCCAATCCACTGGAAATGGCAGTTTTTCACCAAGTTTTCCCTTCCAATCCGCGAAAAACTGCAGCGAAACAGTGGAAAAAAAACAGCCCTCCACCGCCCGGATCTCGCTCTGATACCAATTTGATAGGAAATACTTGAGATCAGATTTCCCTTTGCACTTCTTGAAACAACTCTCCAAGCCAGATGCTGTCCCTGCACAGGAAAAACAGTGAAAAAACAGCGGAAAATCTGAGAAAAAACTGAGAGAAAGCATAGGAAAAACAATTGCAAACGATTGTATTCCACTAGTAGATGCAAAGACAAGCAAGATACAATTTCCTTCGATTCGGAGAGGAAGGAAAAACTCTCCAAATTCTCTAGCCGTAGTTCTAGAGCCCAAGAACAAGAAAACCAAGATCTCCAAAATACATTCAAATTCAAGATCCGTCCAAAACTCCTAATTAAAGACAAAGGAATATTACAAAATACCTAAACAGCCCTTAGTTCAAATTATTTCCCTCCTAATCTTGCATTAAGCCCATAATGGTCTCCACAAGGCTTCCGCCCAACCCAGGCCATCCGTTGGGTCTATTTCGTCGCCTAGAATAGACCCGGACTGGTCCCTCCTGGACCGGTCCAGCCGGCCCCTCCTGGGCCGGCGTAACAGAGCTATATATGCTTCATATTGGGATTGTTAATGTAAGGGAACAGTAAAATATGATAGTGATCAATATTTAGAGAGAAATGTTTATTTGGATGTTTCTAGAACATTATACTTGTACATCTATTTTAAATAAAGGGTATCTCTAATAAATCAGAAACAATTCAATTTTCCTCAAAAACAGCAACATATTAAATATAACTATTCTCAAGCTAAGAAAAACGTGATTAAAAGCGATCCTAAGCACTACAACCAGACAAAACATAAGTCCATATCCCAAATAAGAACAAAACACAAGTCCATATCCTAAAGTCATAACACGAAGAAAATAACTAATAGTGACACAATAATCACAACAAGTAGAATACAAAATTAGACATTTTAATAGAGTTTAACAAATAAAATAGTCCAAATATACAACCCAGGGCACTCTAATGTCCATCACACGTGAAGAAATAATAGGAAGTTCATTGGAATCTCAAGTAACTTCCCAAATGCATGGAAGGCTATCTTATAATAAAATATTTGCTCAAATCATTAAGATAACTGAATCCACACATTCGCCAAATTTTGAAAATGATATTTGCTACTGCAAAGTTGATGGTGGCATAATACCAAATGTCATAGAAGGAAACCATCAATTATATGCCATTGCTTCATGGTTTAATTAGAATATATAAAATCTATATTCATAAAAAAGTAAATAATCACAAGCAGTTTTTGCTGCTTAAGGCATGAATGCACATATCTACCTCCCATTTGCTACGCGCAGTCTTCTAAAATTTTCTGGCCTGCTGTCGGATGCATTGGAAGACTGCTCACCAATAGCCAAACCATGAGCACGTAGTACACTCTCTCTTTCTGCGGTCTGATGTGGAAGCATGTAGAAATATCATCAACTTTACAAAGAAAAAAATGAAACAAATGTAAAAAAATAATAATTTTTTAAATAAAAAACCTTCAGGGACAAAGAGACCGCATGAGCAAGGTCGGAATCATCCAAAACAAATGAATCCTGGTTCAGTTTTGGATTAGGTACGCTCTACATGATGAAAAATCCTGTCATAATTGATCTAAGATAAAAACTATATACATATATGATAAATTATAAAAAATAATAGTGGCCTACATCTGAAACATCATACTGCTGTTTTCCATATTCCTCAGCCTCCCTCTTTGAAGCTTCAATTGCAGCTTGTATCATTTCTTCTTCTATATCATCGGTATAGTCAGTCACATCAGCCAAAGGGGTGGCATTTGTTGTAGGCTGTCTTCTAGCAGAAACACCAACAGAGTGGTTAGCACCAAGATCAGCTGGAAGAATTGAAAGATCCTCATCCTCATCATCAATAATTACAGTTCCATGAACCACAGTTTCATTTGCAGAAACATTTCCAGTAACATCCTCAATTTTTGGTCCACTGCCAGAAGAACCTGAGTGAGAAATCTCATCCTTGAACTCAATTGGAATCTCCCTCACATCCCTAGGGTGCGAAACCCGTGGAGCTTCATTAGCAAAATCTGGAGTACCACCATCAAAAAGACTCCGTCCAAAATGTGATTCAAGAATTGAAAATGGGTTCAGCCTTCGAATAGCAGGAAATGGTGGAAGTGCAGGGGCAGCAGTCGCAATACTAAAAGGATCATCTATATCCATTAAATCACTACGAGGTGCAGGAATAGCCACCGTGCTAGAACTGGAGATTCAAATTGAGTTTAAGGAAAACATCAATGTAGCTGCTACCAATATACATGAATAAAACCTTTAAATGAAAACCAAACTAGCGAACTAATTGCATACTTCATATTATCGCCTTGATTGAAGTGTGAATTTACAGCTGCATTTAGATCGCCACCAAATTCCTGATGTCAAAAAGAGATTACTCAAACAGCAAATCAATAAATGGCTAAAATTTACGTCCGAACTGCTGTTCAAGGATAATTAGTTTTAATTCAATCATAACATTTATCCAAACCAAAAAACTATGATGTGAAACAACAAAAATAAAAAACAATAATAGGAACTACAAGGCTACAGCTCTGATATCTTATCAACACAGCTATCAGAAGAACGGCTGTGGATGGGACGTCGTTTTTTTTTTCCCTTTGACAGAGCAAAAAGAAACTTAACAGGTGTAGTAAATTATTGGGTTTCCCGAGCTTCAATAAGCATATTTGTACCCAAAAAAACAGAAAATCTAGCAATTAATAACTGCAAGCATCAGATTAAGAAGAAATCTGCATAAAATTAAACATAACAAAAATCTATAAATAATATCTTATAATCAGTCCATATATCAACCTAAAAGCTGGAGCTTTGCGATGCAGCGGGTAGCAGCAATTCAGATGCCCAGGTGAGGCCCAGGACCTCCTTTATCACCTATAGAAGAGGCTTTAGGAGGAAACTCTTTGGGAAAGGGGGGAACTATTTTGGAAAGATGTAAGGGGCATTTATTAGGAGATTTGAGCTGTTTAAGGAAGGCGATTATGGAGGGTTAGGGTTTTTATGTTATCTTTTTGAATTGCTGCAGCAGTTTTTGTGAGGTGTTTGGGTTCTTAGTAGCTGCTAGGAATTCTGTGAGAGACGATTTACCTCTCAAACAGTGAATGAACTTGTAGCTCTCTTTTTAATATCTCTGAATCTATTTTGAGTAAGTTGTAGTTTTTTTATATTGTTGTGTGATATTTTGATCATTAAGACTTATCAAATTGGTATCATAGCAAGATTCGGGACCTATGGTGCTGAAGAAAGTGGATGCTTTGAAAGAGAAACTAGATGGAGAAGTTGGTCAATTCAAATTTGAAGTTGAGAAAATGATTTCATCCATGGAAGGAAGGTTTTCTAACATAGAGGACATGATGAAAAAAATATTGGAGCTTCACACCCAACCGACAACATCAAAGGCGAGGGTACCAACGAGTGGCCAAGGAAGTGGGGTAAACCCCAATATCGGCACAATGAGGGATGATCTAGAGGTAGAAATCTTGGACGATAGGGAATATATGCCACCTGTTGAACCGATAACCAGGAGGAAAATGGGTGAAGGATATAGCATGAGGTAAAATTGGGATAAAGAAACGAGGGTTGATTTTGAGGTAGAGGATACCTATGAAAGGAGGGGTGGGAGAGAACAATGGACATATCACAACAATCGTTGTATGGGAGGAGCCTGAGGTGGAAGAGAAAGTTGGAGCGAAGGAGATCCGAGAGTGAAAAAACTGAAGATGTCCGTTTTTTAGGGGGGATAGGCTCATGGGTGGATCTATAGGATGGAGAGATACTTTGCAGTGAATGGGCTAACGGAGGAAAAGAGACTCTCAGCAGCAACTTTATGCTTGAAGGGGAAAGCTTTGTTTTGGTATCAATGGAGAGACACAAGAGAACCAATTCGATCGTGGAGAGAGTTCAAAGATAGTTTATTAAAATGTTTTCGAACCAATCACGAATGAGACTTCTACGAGCAACTCTTTTGCTCTTGTTCAGGAATGGACAATGATGGATTATCGGGAGAGGTTGAGGTTTGAGTACCTTTCTAGCCGACTTGGGAGTCTTTCAAAGACAGTGTTGGAGGGGAATTTCCTGAAGGGACTCAAGCCAGAGATCAGTGCTATTGTCTGATTATTAAGGCCACGAGGACTGGGGGAGGCTATGGAGCTAGCCCAATTGGTGGAGAACAAAAACTCACTTGAAAGAAGCAGCAATGACAACAATTTTGGAGCTTCATACCGGATGACGACTACTTTTTTGGCACCAAATGTACAACATGTGCCCATTCAGAGATAAGTACCCAAGGATAGGGGATTGGGAGCACAGCTAGGGGAAAATTTCAAGTGGTTGACTGAGGCAGAAGTTCAGGAGATGCAGGCTAGGAGATTGTGTTATGTTGTGATGGGAAATTTGTGTCGGGCCACCGCTACAAGGATAGTTCGCTGCATGTACTTACAATCTGTGATGTGGAGGAGACTCTTGAGGAGGAGGAGGTTGAGGAGGAGGAGCATTTGCACCTATATGTAGCAGAGGTCTCACTAAACTCAGTGGTGAGTTTTTCCTCAAATCACAACAGTCCTTGTATAATTAAAAATTTATCAAAATCTCTGACAAATCAAAATATTTTCTTAGTCATATGAAATACACACAAAAACTAAGATGATCCACCACCTTTGACTTGATCAACAAAGGTGAGTATCAACTTCACCTATGGAAACTGAATGATGACTTCACAAAGAAATGTGCATTATCTTCGATAAATTAATGAAGTCTAACTCTCACTCTAAAGGCATACTTCTCAACAAAAGAAAAAGACCAACTTTACAAAAACAAGGTCAATAAAAGGTATCACCAAAAATAAGATAAAAATTATAAATTATCTTAACGTGAACAAATTGATTGAAAAGGAAAAAAAGATTCATTTCATTCATAATAAGTTCTTACAGCATCAAGATAAAAGAAAATATAAAAAAAGAAAAAAAAAAGTTGAAAAGTACAAAATAATAAAAACTCTATGTGAGGTGCAACAAATCTAGCATTTTGGAGGACAACTTAAAGAAATTCGCATGTGTTGAACTCGTCTTACAATAACATTCCAGCAACACCCAACAAATGGTAAAGCTTGGGAACAAATGTGACCTATTTCTGAACAATGACCCACTGAATCAAGACATGAAGCATGAATTCAGCGCCCACCAAGAACTATTTCAACTGAGAAGCCTCAAAGAACTTCCTCAGCAAAACAACTTTAGTTTTTAATTCAATAGTCTCCTGAATCCCGATAAATCTCCTGAACAAATACATCTGGTAACTCGACAAGGTTACTTAACCAATTAATCTTGACTTGAACTTCAAACAGTCGCTACTTCTCGGCTTATAAAGAAAGAAAAAACTCTGCCTTGTCAATCTCAACCCTAGAAAAGTGGCTTTCTTTAGTGATGCAATTTTCACAAACAATTCCTATAGATTTAGATCAATATGTTCCAAATCAAAATATGGTTAAAAACAATTTGACATTAGAGTGATGATTTGCCCAAAAAGTATATGTAAACTGCCAATATCAGCAGATGCATCAGACTTAAAACCTATACATGCCATATTGACCTCTTGAGAAGACCAAAATCCACCCTAAACAATAATTGCAAGCCCCAAAAGACAACACAAAACAAAGAATCAGCCAAGGCTGTGGACAAGCTACTCCACAAGTATACTACCGATTATTGTAAGGCAATAGAAGAGGTTTCCATGCAGTATAACAATTTCCATCATATATCGCCGCACAAATCAATATTTCAATACCTCATAAATCAGAGCAGATGAAAAGCATTCCCAAAGTAAGTCCTAAAATCTCTATTGCTAACAACTAGCTGATCGTCAAGTCCCGGTCTCATTATCCATCCAACGCAAACCAGTAGCTAACATAAGTTTTATCAAAGCATTTCATAATTTGCCCGCACAAAAACTCGCAAGACATCCTAATCAAAAGAAAAAGAAAGGCCGGGCCCTAAAACAATCTGAAGGGAAAAAAACGAAAATCACATGGAAGCGATAACAACAACAAAAAAAAGCAAAAGGGTGACCAGAGGTCCAGAACTCAAGGACTTACCTCAAGCTTCTGCACAGCCACGGCCTTCGATGTGCCGGTGATGCTCATAAACATATCGATTGCATCCTGCGCCGGTCTGTCCATTTTCCGTGCTCGTAACCGTGCTAGGGTTTTGCCTTGATTCTCTTCTCGAGATGAGAGAGAGAACGGGGTGGTGGAGGAGAGAGACAAAGAGAGTCTCGGCTCCAAGGAGAAGCGAAAAGCTAGAAAAGTGAAATTTCTGATTTCCTAAATGCTTTTCGATTTACACAGATAACTTCTATATAATTACATATCTATCTAAATTTTATAATTATTTATATAATATATTTATGGTTAAATAACATCTAAATACTTGCATATAATTACTTTATAAAGTCTATATATTAAAAATAAATAATTGTATTATATAAAACACTTACAAAAATTTATCATGACGATCTTGCCCTTTTCATTTCTATTCTGATGTCTCATTTGTTATTTCTCATAATTGCAATTGAATTATTAGAATCTGCACACAAAATTGAAAATTATTAGAATGCATGAAAGTAACATAAATATTTTTTTATATTTGTTTATAATTCTATATTAATATTATAGCTTTACATCAATTACATATTATTAAATTTATATTAGAAAATTTACCAACATACAATTAGAACTGAATATTCAGTCTCCCCACATAATAATTTCTCATCTATGTGACAAATTTTTTTACTATTTTATTTTTTAAACAACAACAATAATTTTATTTGATTATTATATTTTTAAAAATTTTTATAATGAAAATTTATTTTTTAAAATCATAATAGTGAAATTATTTTTTTAATAATAATATCATAATCAACTAGAAACAAACTGAAGCAGTCTCGAACACATCTGAAACATATAAAGAATGAATGACTGAAACTGGAGGAGAGTTTATAGGAGGTGGGATGGGAACATCTGATGGGAAGGAGAATAGTGGCTTTCAGGTTTCTACAAGCTTCCTAACTTGCGGCCGACGGCACCGCTAAGTGGGCCCATAGTTGGAACAGATGTGGGGCCCTCGATCGAGGCAATAAGGCATTAGGAACTTGCCAAGCTGTTAGGAAATATGAGAGTTTTAATCCAACGGCCAATGGATTAGGTGAGCGAATTGGACGGTTGTAATTCTGTTAGGTAGAATAAACTATAAAGCTTAACATGGGGCGTGGATTGTAACGTGTTAGAAGGCGGATAGAAATGGTGCGCCGTTGCAAACAGGATACAGCAATTCTGACCCATTGATGCATGCCGAATGGACGAAAGATGATGCCTTCCCCCTTAGCCAGAAAATACTGGCCCAGCCCAATTCTTCATGGGCTGGGCCTTTGCTTAATCTAACATAGTGTAATCACAACTTATATAAACTTTATCAATCAGTATTTTCTATAGAGTGTGCATTAACTATTCAAATAATATGGCCCATTGTATAAAAGTATGCATTATTAAGGCTTAATTTGGGACTATTTTTTTACCATTTTTTAAAGCAATTTTTTAATACAAAATTTAATTTTTTTACTAAAAAGTTATTTTAATAAGCAATAAAAAAATCGTCTCAAACGAAATCTTATTAATATCATTTAAGCATTTTAAAATATCAATGGTCAACAAGTTATATGAATTTTCAATGAAGAAAAAACTAAGCTCATTAGTTAAAGTCAACTTCAGTCGTTTCGTTTATGACGGCTTTCTTATTGGTTTTTAAAACAGTTTCCTAATATAAAAATTAAAATTTTGTATTAGAAAATTACTTTAAGAAGTAGAAAGAAAACCGTCTCTTACGAAACTTTAATATAAGATCCACATAATGGATCTTTTAAAATACATTTTTCATGGTTCTTATACATAGAACACAACTCTTCTATAAATCACACTAAGTGATATTCCTCATGACGATTATTTATTTTAAAATTTAGGGTGATTTACATACATTTCACTTTATTTTATGTTATTTACATATCTAACCTCGAAAATATTAATATTACATGACTACTACCCATATAATAAATTTGGGTGCATTGAATGAAATATTAAAGTTTATAGGATAATATGAATGGTAGAAATGAATTAGAAGAATGATATATTTGATATTAAAGTTTTATATGAGTAGTAGAATTGTAATATTAAAATTTTAAATGTTAGATATATAAATAGGATATTATTGTAATATTTCTATGATGACCTTTGAAAATATTGCTGATGAAATAACTACAGGTGTACTAATAGCTTCCTATGTAAATCAGGAGAAATCAGCCACTTCCTGGCGCCAAGATCGGTCACAGCATCTCCCGATTCGAATGTTCTCCCTGTAACCCTAGAAGAAACATAAGAAGCGGGAATATTTCTACCTCAAATGCACCGGATCTGATTCCGCCGGCGTTATGCGTCACGCGAACCATTCGCCACCTAGGAGGGGCGGCAATGGAACAACTGGCGGCGCTTCGTTCATCCGCCGCTGTGCTCTTATCGACCTTGTCGCCGCCTCCTTCTTCTCTGCCTTACTCCTATTCTTACTTCTCACATTTACTCCGCTCGGCGACCCGCTCGCGGCTTCCGGCCGACGATACCTTGGGCGCCAATCCGCATCCTTTGCTCGTCAGAGGGAGAAAGTGATCGCGGCCATTGAACTTGGTGAGGAGGTGGTGATCGAGTCGTGTCCGGCGGAGGAAGTGGACAAGATGCCGTGCGAGGATCCGAGGAGAAATAGTCTGTTTGATCGTTACATGAATTTCTACCGTGAGCGCCACTGTCCTGCGCCGGGGGAGGCGTTGCTCTGCCTTGTTCCTCCACCGAAAGGTTATCGTGTTCGGATTCCATGGCCTGAGAGCCTACACAAGGTGTGGTCAGTTTCTTTCACTTTCGCCGCGACCATCTTTTTCGCCTTGCCCGCCCTATGTTTGATTTATTTAGAAGTCCTCCATGGTACCTTATTCGTGTTTCATTGGATTTCATATCAAATTAAGGTCACATAAACAACCAAATAGTGGTCCACATGCCTCTTCAATACTCCAAAAACAATCAAAGCTTCGACAAGCCCGGCACATGGAGTGGATGATTTATCTGCAACAATTCAATCTCTTTATCAAATACAAGAAAATTGTCCAAAACAAAATAGCGAAAATGCTTTCCCGGTTATTTGACCTGCTTTCATCCACCATGATGATACAATTGGCCTTGCGTGAGGAATATGTTGGATTATACAAGAATGACGAGACTCTTAAAAATGTCTCTGAAGAAGCATAGAGTGGACTTTATGCTCAAGAAGACGTTGATTTCTTGAAGCGGATAAGAGAGACACATATAAATTACGTGCACATACACTTTGGCATTTCAAAAAGTCTTCTAACTGGCAGCGCTAAGTGTATTACATACGGACAATGAAGTGGTTAGATTCATTAGTGGATGTGTTTTTTTCTGCAATTTTAAACTCTCCAATTGGAATTAGGGACTCTCCATCCTTATATCAATTCTAACTTGATCTTGGGATAGCACCTCAACAAATTTTCTTGTAGGTTTATGATGTGCCTCAGAAGTAAAACCAGCAACCAAACAAACAGAAAGCTTCAGGAATACCAACACGATGGTTGATTTTTTATTAATACTTCAATCATAAAAATAAGATATAGATGATCTAAGAGGTAGATCGGCTCTCTCAAACAACTTAAACGTACTAGGAAGCCTCTAAGAAAAGAACTTCAACAGAAAAAAAAAGTCTCAAAATATGCATAACCCTAACCCTAGGGCAAATCAACTATTTAAAGCATACAATAATAAGAAAATACCAAAACATACATCCCCTAATTTCCTCCCAAATAAGCCCCAAATTTCTCTTAATTTCCTCCCAAATCAGCCTCAAATATGATCTATTTCCTTGCTTATTTCCTTCCATTTGAATTCAATTTGGAGTTATTTCCTAATTAATCCCCTCCTAGTCACCCCCTCCCCCTTGCATTAATTCCATGGGCCTCACCCCAACGGGGTTGATTGTAGCTAGGGCGGATCAGGCTTTCGACTGGAGTAAACAAGGGTTGGTCCCTCATGCTGGATTGGCTAGACTGATCTCTCATTATCCAATTTGCATTCTATTGCACATAACTGACTTCACCATTCAGGCTCCATTTGAAATAAGCTTTGGATACTTTCCTCAAATCTTGTTTTGACATGGAGCTTGTTATTGATTTAATGTTTCACTGGTCTAACAAAAGTCCAATGTTTCCTTGAGAGAATCTGAATGGCACATGAGGAAGCAGAGCATCAACTTCATACATCACAACAAAACTACAAAAGATGGCATGATTATCATTTGGTTGGCAGATTGTATGAAGAAGGAATCTTGTTCAGCTCCATGTAAGCAAAAAACATCTTAAGTTCTAGGGGCGCAAACTTAAACCAATACATTATGATCCATTCGACATTATGAAAAAGATTCATTCATATCAATTGTACCTTTCATCTTATAGGGCGTTCTACTTCATGGTGATTGTGCAGAATCTCAAACCATTTAAGCCCTCTTTGTTTGGTGATGAATCAAAATAAGTCTTGCCACAACCTCATGACCTGAGAGTTTAGACAAGAAACCATTGGAGGAAGATATGGCTTCAGAGAAAAGAAGATTACGACTACTTGTGAAGGCATCACGACATTATATCGTAATAGTTTGAAGGGCAAATATGCTTCTACCTCCAAATGGTACAACCAAGATGGTAGGATTGTAATTTCTACTTATCTCTTCATCTATTAGATTTGTAGGAATGAGTATGCTTCTTACAAGAGGTTATGCGATCCTTGGATCTACAATAAGATAGTTTTGATTTGTATTTTGTCATATGTAAGCAAGCATTGACTTCGGCATTTCACACTCTCTCCTTCATTAAGAGTTATATTCATGCATGTTTTTTCAGAGGAGATGCACTCTCTTTCACTTCTCATTAATGTATTCAAACATCTTCCATGAAGGCTACACATCATCTACTTGTAACCATCCCCCTCTACTTGTAATTGATGGTCTCTCCATTCTTATTTAAGGAAAACCTTAATAGAGGCCTTAGGCATGGTTATAGCTTATAATCTTCTTTCAAATGAAAAAGAAAGTTGTCTTGAGACACAAATATCTTCTCTTTTGTTAAGTGTGGTTATTATGAATTCTCTTCTGCCAATTGATCCTTCATGTTTTCTTTTTTCTCTGTTGATCAAAAACATCAAGCTTCCTTTATTGTATGTCAACATGTTTGTCAATGTTGTTACAATCTTTTGTTTACTCTTCAACCCTTTTCTGACATGAATCCTTTGTTAGCATCTTCTCATTCCATGTAGAAATTATCTTGGAAGAAGAAAAGAACAAGATAAACCAACAAGTAGAAAAAGGTTAAAGGGGTTGGCTTGGCTAGATTTAAATTGAATCCTATCAATTGAGGTTGGGAGCTGGTTGAGAGCTTCAAGTGGTGAAACAAAAGTAAACAAAATGCCCAAGGGAAGATCAATGGCTTGTCTTTGACATAAGGAAAAACAAAATCTCTTTGAGTCCTTAATTGACTTATAGACTCCATATGAGGATCTCCACATACAATCCTAATATCTGATCTCAGTGCAAGTAATAAAGAGTGAAAAATGGAGGAATAGTAAGGAAGGGAGAGGTATTTTCTTATTGTAAGGAGAAACAATGGACGGGGTGTTATGATTGTGAAGAGATAGGGAGAGGACAAAGGGGGTGAATAAGTGATGTGAAGCTTGGGGGAAGAAATGGTGTTGAGGTAGAAGAGTTTGGTGTCCTAATAATGGATTGGGTTTGGGATTAAACCTATAAGATGAAAAACAGCTTGAGAAGATTCTGCAATTATTGTTCAACTAAAAACAAGTAAACTTTAAAAATATATTATATCTATCAGAATTTTTGTTGGATTATATTCTATCTAATAACAAATATTGGTCAAGTCATTTTTAGTTGACTTGAGTGCAAAATAAAATTTGCAATATAATGTAAAAAAAAGGATTGACATGACCTTAGTCTTAGGTTGGTCAATCCAAATTCCAACTTCTTTTGGCCTCTTCGATGATTGAGAATTATTTTTCTAGAACTTCAAAAGCTAAGAACAGTTCGACATTTGACCTTTAAGAAGTCTATTATCATTCATGCTATTCAACTGGAGAAAGAAAATTGAATGAATTCCGTCCAGTATGATGGGGCTGTGCTTCATGGAAGTATTTTAAATTTCTTGTAGCAAATTTGTTTTCATATCAAGTTCTACTCTTTGTTTGGTTTATGGATGATCTGATATTGAGATAATCAACATAGGCTCAAATAGATTTGTTTTGTTTTAGGGTGGCCTAGTAGAGACTGGTATGACACATCAATTTTGATTCGAGCAAAAAAAATAGTTCAATTTAAATCAAATTTTTTGATCTTTTAAGACATTGATAATCCAACATGCATGAATTCACCTAATATTGTCCTGTTCACATCCATCCTATTTCTATTTATAGTCTTAATGGAATATAAAAAAAAAAACATTAAATGAAGGAACCACTATCGGATTGAACGGAATAAGCTGCAACAAACCATCAAAGATTATTATATTGCTTTTATATATTTGATTCACGCTGTCTTCATTTATTTACTTGAACGTTTTCCTACTCTTTGCAGATATGGCACAACAACATGCCATACAATAAAATTTCCGAGCGAAAGGGTCATCAGGGTTGGATGACAGAAGAAGGCCCGTACTTCATTTTCCCAGGTGGAGGCACAATGTTTCCTGATGGAGCTGAGCAGTACATTGAGAAGCTAGGACAATATATTCCAATTAAGAAGGGTATTTTGAGGACAGCATTGGATATGGGATGTGGGGTAAAGTGTATCACTCTTTACTTCAGGCCCCACTTCACCGGTTTCTTTATTTAGATCTTGTTTCCGGCATCTGCATTCTTGGTGCTTACTCTGTATTCCAATGCAGGTAGCCAGTTTTGGAGGCTTTTTGCTAAAAGAAAACCTCTTGACATTATCATTTGCTCCAAGGGATTCTCACAAATCTCAGATACAGTTTGCTCTTGAAAGAGGAATACCTGCCTTCGTTGCTATGCTGGGTACACGGCGGCTTCCATTCCCGGCTTATGCTTTTGATCTGATTCACTGTTCACGGTGCTTAATTCCTTTCACTGCCTACAGTACGTTTTTTTTTTTTTTTTTTTCCGCCATATTTTTTAACTTGCCTCATCCTCCATTGTCAGATACCCGTTTCATCAAATTTTTATTTCAATTGTTTCTATTCTTGCAGATGGATCTTACATAGTTGAAGTGGATAGATTACTTCGACCTGGGGGATATCTAGTTATATCCGGCCCACCAGTAAAATGGGCCAAACAAGAATCTGAATGGGATCATCTACAGGCAGCAGCACTTGCCTTGTGTTATAAACTTCTTGTGGTGGATGGCAACACTGCCATCTGGAAGAAGCCCTCCATACCTTCTTGTCTTCAGGAGAACAAACTTGGAATTGGATACTGCAGGGACTCTAATGATCCAAGTGAGGCATGGTAATATCTTTGTGCTTTTCTTTCCCATGCTACTCATTGATATTCATGTTTACAAAATAGTACGGTTGAGTTCTGACTTCTGACTTTTCAATATTCTAGATCAGTAGATAAATCCATTTATATATATGTATATATCCAGTTTAAATGCACTCCTACTGTCCTTTTTTTTTTGCAGGTATTTCAAATTAAATGCCTGTGTGAATAAGAACCTGGCTAAGGGAGAATTTGCTGTTGGAGCAATACCAAAGTGGCCAGATAGACTACTAAAACCCTCTCCAAGGCTCTCGCTTACTGAACGGGGTGATTCTTTTGAAGCTGACACAGAGCTTTGGGCTAGACGAGTTGAATACTACAAGAAATCTCTTGGCATCAAGCTGGAAAGTCCATCAGTACGCAATGTTATGGACATGAATGCAAATCTGGGAGGGTTTTCTGCTGCATTGTCTCATAACGATGTCTGGGTTATGAATGTTGTTCCTGTCTTCTTTCAATTAACACTCGATGTGATTTATGACAGAGGTCTTATTGGAGTTTATCATGATTGGTATGTTTCATTGTATGACTGCTACTCTTGTTTCTTAAACTCATGCTGCCTTTTTTATTTCTTAATTTGGGAAAGTATTTTGAGATAAATCTAACCTTTTAAGTATCTAGAAAGGTAGGGAAAAAGTGCTCATTTAACTAGTTAGTATTAGCCTATTAATCGTAGTTGGAAGTAGAGTATTATCTATTAAGATTGACCAGCTTTAAAGAGGATGGATGATACATATCACCTGTAACATGTTGTATTCTCAATGAAAGCATTCCTTTTTTATTTGCCTTTCCAATGGATTTCACCTTGAACTGTCTAGTTGCTTGAATCAAGGAATGAAAATCCCTTTAATCTCTCTTTATTTGGTGTAACTAGTCATGACATAAAGTTGAGCCTAGTTAGTTTAGTTGATGATGTGCAGCCCTAATGTAAGCGAACCATGTGTAGTAAAATTGACCTATATGGTGTGTAATAGCCCAAACTCTTAACTATCGAGATATTGTTTGCTTTGGTCTAAGAGCCTCACGGTTTGGTCATGTTGGTATAACTTCCTAGGGGGTCATCTATCTTAGGATTTCTCTAGGATGAGCATGCTTAACTATGGAGTTTCTCAATAAAATTCCACCATTACACCAAATGGCACCTCGATGTTTAAGAGTTTAATTTCTTTTTACTTAAGGGATATCACAATCTCTCCCACTTAAGGAATGACGTACTCGTCAGTATTTTTATCCAAGAATCATCCATCAGGTATATAATAATCTAGAGGTGGCCCCTACAAGTTCAAGTGGTGACTCCTGCCATATAGCAATTTGTCCCATATAGGGTTCAAAAGGTGGCTCCTATGACGTTAACGCTTTGTCTTGTGTGACACTTGGTTCCCATCTATTTGCTGATGTATTGCTCTGATACAATTTTTAACAATCCAAACTCTTAACTATCAAGACATTTTCTGTTTTGTCCTATGAACCTCACAGTTTTGTCCTGTTGGTGTTACTTTCCAGAGGTCAGCCATCTCAGGATATCTCTAGGATGAGCACGATTAACTGCAAAGTTTCTTAATGAAATTCCAACAATTATATGAAAAGGCACATTAATGTTTAATTTTTTTTATTTTATTTTTACTTACATGGTGTAGCTAACTTATGGCTATCTGTCTTATTGATGCTTATGTGGATGACTTATGGTGATCTAGTTTATCATGTTTATGTTGTTGACTAAATGTAACTAGCCCAACTGCAGTAGTAAACTTTGATATAGCTTTGATGCTCGTGAAGATGCTTTTAGAAGCCCCTTGAGCTACCGTAACTCTTGACCAACATTTGGTTAAATTGTTTTTTCTAATTCTACCTGATGAAATCCGATAACCATCTTCCCTGCCTACCCCAACAAAATTTGATGTGTTTGCTTTTTTAAAAGGATGGAAATGTAAGGTAAAGATTGAGTTTGATGTGAAATTCAAGTGCCAAAGAACAGATAAGAAGGGAAATTCTATGATAAAGGGTAGTTCAATGAATTTTGCATAGTTTTCAATATACATATGGAGAGGACTAGTATAAGATCATCCTAACTGGATGGAATTGTTGAGTGCATGAACAATAAATTTGAATGAAAAAATTAGGAGCATGAGATTGCATACTATATTGGCTTAGGCTTTCTAAGTTAAAGCTATGTGTATGATGAATGAATTCTCTCAAATTCTCTTGAGTTATAAATTATTTGAAAACCGGAACATGCTTGTGGTTGAGCTTTGAAGATCTCAACGGTTGCTTAGAGCTATATACAAATACTCTTTTACCTTGTATTACTTATTGCGAATAGATGTTGGTGAACCTAAAGGTGCAATGCAGGATGAATACTGAATCAAGTGGGAGTTAGCAAAAGACGAGCACATTGAAGGATAAATAGCATTTCAGGATCAGTGAGCATAGTAGCAAAACAAGGGTTTGTTAAAAAGACCTGACAAGTTTACCACTAATAGGATTGGTACTGGAAAGCTTCAATCAATCTCCATGACTAAATGAGAGGGAGTGCTGCATTGAGATGACTCTCTTAAGATAATACATCATAAATTTAGTCTCTAAGCTTGGAGATTATTAGGTGTGGAGCATGATTTCTGTTAATTGCATTGATATAAAAATCTTGGATTATATTTTATTTTAATTTTTTAATATTGGTGGCTATCATACTCATGATCTTATTCACCACCAATCCGGTTAATTGCATTAATAGTACGATGGTGGTCGACAATGAGGTATTGACAATCAATGTCTAGCTCTTAGAAGGTCATGCTTTGAGTTTTGTTCTATGAAGGGTGAGGGTTCCTTATTTTGTGCAAGTAATAATAAATAAATAATAATGTAACTTTTATATATATGATCTTAAGTGGGGCTTTATTTGGATTCTTTTTGTTGTGTTGATTTTGAGAGCTTTTGGCTTTAATTTTTTCGGAGAGGATGAGCAGAGAGGAGAGGAGAGGGAGATCTGTGCCACTGATTGTTCGCCGCTCCCTTGAAACCGATAATGTGGATAAGTTAGTGGTGCCAATCCCCAGAATTCACCAGCTACGGGGAAAGAATATTAAATCCTCCAGCTCATCTCTAGAGTAATTGAAAGTAGTGCGAGAGTTGGCACTTGATTGTTAGACAACCTTAAGATTGAGAGGGGATTGTTGTGCCACTTTGGAGGCCCCATATGGTCGGAGGAGGCTATAGTGGTAGTGTTGTAGCACCAGGAGCATCAAAAGCACAAAAATGATAGAAATGGTTCAACCATCATGGCTCTATGCAGGAAAGTTGCAACTGAAGAGAGTGGACTCATCACCAAGAGCAAGTTGAAGACCCTAAACTAAGGGATTTCCTTTATTATTCTACTTAATTATTATGAAGATATTGTGTGTGTGAAAACTTTATTTAGTGTTATGATTGTAATTGTGTGAGGCTTGGGTGTTTGTGTTGTGGATTTTATGTGTTAAAGGATTAGATGAAGGCACTTAATTAATTTTATTAACTGGCTAAGTCATTGAGTGAAGTGCCTGGTCGAGCAAATAACTAGTCTTGAGTGAAATGGACGACCAAGCAAGGAGGATGGAGTAGTTATGGATGGTTACATGGCATGGTCCCCTCCCCTTTTCCCTCTTCTTTTCAAATTTCAATTACCTTTGTTTTAAGTTGTATTTAAACATTTTGTTCAGTGGAATGAAGTGATCAGAACATTTAGTGACTGAATTGGGGTGAATTCTTAGTGGTGTCTTGGCTTGGTGGTTAACTATAGGAGAGGGATTTGGCGGCTTCTCTCACCCAATCCTTTTGGGTTAGTTGATTGATTTTGTATCATTGTATTTTGCCGAAATTTTTTATGGTGTTCTTGTTTAGTCTTATCTCTACCATGTTTTAAAAATATTTCCCCAAAAAAATCCCATAAAAATTCCTACTCAAACCCACCAAAGTGGTCGACCAACTCTTGGTTGAATTCTATCATTGTGTTATTCCAGTTGTGATTTGGTAACTATAAACCCTTTTAAAAATTATGGAAAACTCCAGAACACATCTTAAAACATCCCATTACTATTCCATAGTCGTTTCCCTCATTTTTATTGCCTTAAATTTTGCCCATAAAAGCCTAAACCCTAACTAGAAGAGGTGTCAGATTGGGTTGGCGGGTCGGATTCGATTCGAAATGACCTGACATGAATCCAATCAATCCAAATTCAACTCATTTAATAAATGGGTCAAAAAGGAGGACCCAAACCCAACCCGCAACTCGTTTTATTTAAAAAATATTTTGATTATCTTATTAACTATAAATTTTAGGTTAATTGAAAAAATAAGAAGATTATATCAACAAATAAAAGAATTTGAGAAAAAAATAATAAACAGTTTTTTTTTTTTGGTCAAAATCGGGTTAGCGGGTCAACCTAAACTCGTCTCATTTATTAAACATTTCATCTCGTAGCTGAATTTTTGGGTTGGGTCTAGGTGGGGTTGGTGGGTCGGGTCATTTATTGACACCCTTGCCAACTAGTCGAATCAACTAATCTATGATTTTTTTGGACCCAATCATTTATAAAATCCCCCCAAAAAAAATTATGTCTCTGAAAATTATAAAAGTTCCATATCACAACTAGACCCTTCCCTCTAATTTTTGCAAGTGATTTGAGGGTTTTGGATTAGTATTAAGGGATTTCTAGATAATTGAACAATAGCCTAGGGCTATTTGAAATTTCTTGCTCAAATCCTAGGTTGACTCTTATTATACTCCCAAATTATAATCCACCACCAAATTTATTCCACCAAAATATTTCTCACCTACATAAGAGTCTAGGACTGCAAACGAACCAAGCCAAGTCAAGCATAAGATTGTTCATATTTATGCTCGTTTATTAATAGCTTGCTCAAGCTTGGTTTGAGTTCGATTCGAGCTTTTTCATTTGTGTTCAAGCTATGTTCGTTTAAAATGTTATATGTTCAAGTTTGGTTCATGCTCAATTCATATTTGCTTTGTTTTGTGTTTATCGAGCTTTAACCGAGATACTCATTTAAATTAACGAACGAGCCTTATAGAGCAATTAACTAACATGTCTTACCAAATTATTAACAAACGAATCTTATCGAGATGTTCATTAGCTTAACAAATGAGCCTTCTCAAGACTACTAATAAATACTTATATTGAACCCGTAAACGAACATATCTATCAAGCTTTATCGAACCCATAAATGAGCAAGCTTATCGAGCAATCGAGCATTCTCCAACTCATAAATGAGTAGCTTGTCAAGCTCATAAATTATACTTTTAATGATTTTATTAATTAACACTGAAATCAAACATGAACAATTATATCTTGATCATGAACAAACTCAATCTAATGATCAATGAAAGAATATCTTAAATCATATGATATTTTCTAGTGATCTAGAACTCAATGTATATACTTAAAGAGCTAGCTAATCATATGAAATTTTAAAAATAATGATTAATCTTAATCCCCAACCATCATATCTCAAATTTCATTAAAATTTTAAAGTTTGGAAATTGATAAATATTTAATCAGGTATAAATTTATAATTATATAATGTTATAAAATAAAAAATAATAATTAAAGTACACAATAGCTTAATATCAATTAATATATATTTATAATTTAATTTAAATAATATATATTATAGTATTTAATTAATTTATAATTTATTAATCAATAATTATTATATTTTAAAATTGTAATAAATATAAAATATTTAGATTAGATTATTCATCATTTTTATAATGAGAATTAATAAATATTTATATAGATCATTAAGCGAATTTTCTCACGAGCTTGATATCGAATAAAAAATAAGCTTCTTAACGAGCTTCCTATCAAGCTGTGTATCAAGCATGTTTATGAGCTTCAAATGTTGTTATTCATGAACATAAATAAGTCAAACACATAATTGTTCAAGATTATTTATTTAATAATCGAGTATTTAAAAAAAAAAACATTCAAGCTTGTTTGATTACTTACTCAAACAATCACGATCAAGCTGTAATTGAGCCAAGCTATAATGATTATGAACGAACTATTTTGAAGTATTACAACCCAATTTAACCCTCATTAAGTGACCTCTCCTATATGCCACACCAATGGTTCCCATTACAGTAGCATCTGATCGCTAGGGTGCCATAGACGCGTGACCATCATTTGGTGCTTAGCGCGTATGAGCGTCCAGTGGCTTTTTTTCTTTTAGTCTGAGTCATCTGGTTGGTTTTATGAACTTTAATTATCTTTCTATGATCTCTTTTTGTTTTGTTATATATTTCTTTCCCGTTTCTTGCTTATGCACTAAATACTACAAATGTTTTATTATCTTTACTATAAGGATGTTTGCCGAAGAAGCTAAAAAAACATATTTTATTGAAATCCTTTTGTATTTCACTGAAGTAAATGATGGGTGGGTATTGGTTCTAACTCTCTTTATTTTATTCATTTTGTGATTTTTGCTTTTATTCTCTTCTTTTCCCTTTTGTTCCAGTACCAGAAATGTTTCAGTAGAGTTTTTAGTTACATTCTTGTCTCAATAATTGCGTTATTCTTATTATGACATGTTAAAACTTTCGCATTGATGTAATGAAAATGAAACTAAAATAAATTTTTTATCATAGGTGTGAGGCATTCTCAACATATCCCCGGACATATGACTTGTTGCATGTTTCTGGAATCAGCTCTTTAGTTGCTGATTCATCATCAAACTTGAACAGGTACCATTTACGTATGTTGTCTTTATTTCAATCAATTTTGGGTCCATTCCGGGCTGCTTCTTTGCTGCTTTAAATTTTCAGGCTTTTGCTGTATTTTTATTTTACTATAATTTTATTGTTATTTTTCATAATTTTTTGTTGCGAGAGGTATCTATTTACTAGTATAATTATAAGAAAGTTATATATGTATTAGAACGACAACAACATCAAACCTTTGTCCCACTGTGTGGGTCGGTTATATGAATCTTTTTTCTCCATTGTGTTCTGTTAAAAGTCAAATTTTCATTTAAATCTAATAAAGAAAGATCTTTTCAAATATTTTCTAACCAAGTTTTTTTAGGCCTACATCTACCTTTCTTAATATAAGTCAAATCTAATGTCTCTACTATCCTAACCGGGACGTCGGAAGGCCGTTGTTTTATATGACCAAACCATCTATGGCGACTCTCTCTAATTTATCTTCTACTTGAGCTACTCCAACCTTTTCACGCAATAGCTATTAAAAAAATTGCGTTTTTCATAACCTTCTATGTAACTATTGTTACTGATGACTGCAGACCCTCAGTCACTTATTTTTATCCAAAGCTTTTATGACTTTTTTTTTCCATTTTGGATTAAGGTGTCATCTTGTTGATTTGATGGTGGAGATGGATCGAATCTTACGACCAAAAGGAACGGCTGTGATTCGGGACTCCATGGAAGTCATTGACAAGGTAGCTCAAATTGCCCGGGCAATAAAATGGACTACTGATTTGCACCAAGTCGAGCCAGAATCGCCAGGTGATGAAAGGATTCTTGTAATAACAAAAAATTTTGTAAGTTGACTACGATTCATAAGCTGATAGATTACTAAATTCTCCATACCATTGTATCTAAAATTTTTTGCATTCTTGTTCTCTTAGAATGTGAGAATAGAAACTTCAGTTGATCACAAGCTTCTTTTCTGCTCTCTGCCTTATTTTTTGCTTCGTTTGCGACGGTTTTCTTTCCGCTTCATAAAGCAGCTGATGCAGGACTGTATGCGAAACAAGAAATTTGCACAAAATAGTTAAACAACAATTTTGGATTTTCGTTATTAGCAACTAAAACAACAAAATAAAATTAATAATCGTCACTTCCGTTTAGGCTAAGTCACGCAAGAGACTAAGTGAAATCAAAGCATTTAGGAAAATCAAAGTGATGCATGCGAAGTAGTTTCCAACATAACCTTGATCCAACATAACCTTGGTCAAACTCCGGATCAGTCATACATCATAAGCATGTTAAGGAGAGAACACGAGAGAGGAGGGAGATGGCGGTGAGGAGGGAGGCCGGCAGCTTAAGATGGTGGGGAGGGGCTAGGGTTTGAAAGAGCTTGGGTTAAATGGAGGTGTAAGAGTTCTAATTATAAAGTCTGAAAATAATTTCAGATTTTGAGTAAAAGTGGAGGGAATTAATTTGAATTTGGATTTCAAATTAATTACACTTAATGGCCTTGATTGAGCATTAATGGAGAGGGACCCAAGCAAGGGGGGGGTCGGCGGCATGGAGAGAGAGGGGGAGAGGGTTTTGTGGTGGAATTTAAATCCACTTAGACCTCTTTCATTTAGGAGAAGAAAAATTCCATCCAATTTAAATTTGAAATTAATCATGAATGAGATTCAATACCTTTCTAAAATAGCTCTCTAATTTAGGAAACTATTTGAAATTCAAAATTTGAATATCAAATGATTAAAATAATTTCCCAAATTATTTAAACTATTTAGGTAAGCATTAAGGAGGCATTAACTCCTCATTCATGAAGGCAAACAAGGGTGGCCGGCGGTGGGTTTGGCTTGGGCAGGGCGGGTGGTGGAGCTAAGGAAGAAAAGGGGTCGAGTTGGTGGTTAGGTTGACGGTGGGCTTGAGGAGATGGGGTTATGGGGTGAGATCGGAGGTGGAGATGGCCGGTGGTGGAAGTAAGGAGAAGGGAGGGGAAAGAGAGGAGAACCAAGAGCCACCGGTGGTGACTGTTGGGCAAAGGTAAAATTCACCAAGCTATTTAAAGCCTTCATCATGCCCATTAAAAGGTAAAATTCACCAAGCTCTCCTAGGCTCCACCAAGCTCTCAAACTCTGTCTCAAGCTCTCACATAAGCTTCAAGAACACAAGTGCATGAAAAATTCTTCATAATCATTCATTAACCCCCAAAAGAACAAGATGAAGGCTTTAAATAGCCTCTACAATGACTTAAAACAAAAGGACTCAAATACCCTCAAGGGGCTGCATGACTCAATCCCTCAAGCAAGGGTAAAAAGGAAAAATTCTAAAATAAAAAAAAAAACATCAATAAGTAGACAATAATAAAATCAAAAATACATCAGATAAATCATGGTCGTTGATCTACGACCATGTCAACGGTAGACTTTCCAACTGATGTCCCATCATCAGCTTTCTAGTACAATTTTTTTTTTTAATTTTGTACTAAAAAGCTTGATTTAAGAAGCAGAAAAAAAAAATAGTCCCAAACGAAGTCTAGTTCGCTTCATTGTTGGTTTTGCTTGTGATTTTACCTTTTAATGGGCATGGAATTAATAGTGAGAATTTGGAAAAATAAAATGTGGTATTGTCAGAATTGGAGATTTGCAGATTGGTTATCAGAACCGTTTAAACTGACAAAAATGTTCTAATATTACATTGATAGTGATTTGTGCTCTGACAATTTATTTGTAGCTCCTTTTCGTGGATATTTGTCTTTGCCTATAGCAGGCTGGGCTATATGCCTATATTATCAAAGCATTTTTGTTTATTTGAGTCTGTGGGAGATGGTTCTGCCTTCATCTTTTACTGGAGTAGAACTGTAGAAGCTTTGCTTTCGGTCACTGTAGAGCCTTCTGGAACCTTTGCTAAACCATCTATTTACATTTGAAGCCACCTTGCTCAACTTGGAATTTTATGTTTTGTTTGTGATAGTTTTCTTATTGCTATCTAAAGCAGTTTTATAGCACAAATTTTTTTTTCTCAAAAAATTTTTTGTATTAAAAAATTACTTTATAAAGCAATGCGAAAGCTCTTCCAAATAAAATCTTAGTTCACCCACCTTTCTATATTTTGCTTGAGGGACTCCTAATCAAGACTATTCCCCTAAAGAACTCATTAACTCATCTAGAATACTCATTGATCAACTAAAAGTTCTCATCATGTTTGCTCCTATAATTGGAGCTAAGTTCCATCACAGCTCTATTGCTACACAAATAGCTACAATATGGAAAAAAAATTTCTAAAAAAAATCCAAAAAAAAAATTAAATCGTGTCATATTAAGAGCAAATTATCATTTAAATTTAATTAAAAAATATCATTTCTAATATTTTTTAGCCAAATTTTTTTTTTTTGTCTACATCTACCTTTCTTAACATAAGTCAAATTCAATACATCTAATCCTCTATATGAATTATTGAAAGGTTGACTTTTTATGTGTCCAAACCTTCTAAGTCCGCTCTCTCTACTTATGGGAGTTACTCCAACCTTTTGACCTATATATTCATTTCACATTCTATCTCTAATACGAAAGAAAGAAATTATTGATATATAATTTAAATTTCCATTAAAATAGCAAATAATATTTTAAAATTATAAGAAATTCAAAAAAAATTATAATATTATAGAAGTTCTCATAAAAGATTGATTTTACCCATTGATGTGACTAATCAAAATAGGCTAATATGTATATGGCATTATAAAAAAATTACAATATTATCTTCACATATAATCATAACATCAATTAAAAAATTCACTCATTTTCAATGATCAAATAAAAAATACTGAAGATAATTAATTATGCCATAAAATATATATTCCAGCATGAAATACATAATAACAACAAGAAAAATAATTATCTTAGAAGCAATTTTTTTTCCACATCAGTTTAACAATCAAATTGAATTAACAACCCCAAAAAGGATATATTAATCAGATCAAATGATGAACAAAAAATAACAATCCATAAACAATAGAAACCATAAGCAGAGCTTCAATTCCCACAGGACCATTTTGATGTAGGAACACAGTTCATATATCTACACCAGCGACACCCCTCACTTCCATTCACTCCTTTAAATAGCATCACCAAGCTAACTACAAACCTGCAAAAAATATTCAAATAAATAAATTTATTTTAATAATTTGTTTTAATCATCAATTTATAAGCTCTAAAAAATAATGAAGAATATCCTAATACAAATTATATCGAATTTATATTGCACTAATCTTAAAGTAAATTAAATGAATTTCAGCCTCATTCTAAAATAATTTATATAGTTGTTATAAGCTGATTATTCTCACCCAACAATAAGAAAAGTGATTCCTATAACCCAAAGCACAAGCTGATAAAGCTTATATTTTGATGTGGGTTGGCAATGAGGAAGACTCTGTCTCTCAGTCCAGCCAAACTGTGGCTTAATCAGAAGAACAAACCCCAGAAGAAAACCTGCTATAAATCCTCCAATGTGTGCAAAATTGTTGACAAGTGGTAATATTCCAATCACCAGATTTACTGCTACAATTAATAGTAGAGTTGAGATAGCTGCAGCCTGTGATGCAAAAGAAATCATGAGAAAATCAGATGAAATGTTTTACTTTTGTACAATATATTAATTGAAGGTTTAGTTAGTTAGACTTTGTTTGGGACGACTTTTTTATTGCTTTTTAAAGCAGTTTTTTAGTTAAAAAATTAAAATTTTTATACTAGAAAGTTGTTTTAAGAAGCAGTAAAAAAACCGTCACAAACGAAGCCTTAATGTATTTACTCTATTAGAATAGATGGACCAGTTTGTGATTAGTTCTGAAAGCATTGCTCCAAAAAGTCCAAAGAGAGCACCAGAGGATCCAACTGAGATGCCTTTTGTTATAAAAAGAGATGAAAGCACATTGCCACCAATTCCTGAGATGAGATAGATTGTGCCAATCCTCACTGCAAAATAACAGGAAGAAAATATAGTTAGGGTAGTAAGATTTATTTGGAAGATCAATTAATGTTGAGGTATTATAGATTTGAAGTACATTGAATGTAGTTTTAAGATATGAGGATATCAATACTTACATTATTTCTAGAGCTAAAGCTATTTGGTTAAATAGACAAGGGAGACAAACTACTGATGTGATAGAAAAAAATAAATGCAGGGTCGGAACTATGGAATGCCTAGAGGGGTCAATTGTCCCCCTTAAAAAAAATTAAAAAAACCTTCAAAAGAGAGATTATTAGCCTAAAAAAATTAAAAAATCTTTAAAAGAAGGATTATTAGGTAATTTACCCCTCCCTCATTTTATTTCTTTTCCCTAGCCAATCATTTTCAGTAAATCGCGAGCGACGTTTCGTTTGTTCGCTGATTCACTCCATTGCTCTCTGTCGTTGCGCGGTTTGAAGCTCGAAGGTCCAATATCTAATGTCGAAAGCCAAAAACCTTATTTTCTTCGTTTTTGATGGTTTTCTTACTGCTTTTTAAAATAAATTTTAAGTAATTTAAGAAACAATAAGAAAACACAGAGCCTTAGACAAGTATGATAGATTTTTATAACACACAAAATTTGAAGAAAAAAAACTGTGAACAAGCTGTCATTCAAATACACGAGCTTTATTTTTTTGGCTGTTTTCTCTACCATAGAAATAGTAAAAAATTATCCCAAATGAAGCTTGATACTGAAAAAAACTGAGTTTTTGGTATCCATGGAGGAGGAAGAAGAGGAGAGCTTACCAAATCCAAACTGTTGCTCGAGGCGGATGCCGATAAATATCAGGCTTAAGATGTCTAGAAGTAAATGAATAACGCCGGCATGCAACCAAATGGAAGCAAGCAGCCTCCACCATTGATGCTGATGCACTGTTTTTTCCCATTGAAGAGCTCCAAGTTTCTCCAGCCTGAAAACAGATAACAAAAATATTGTTTAATATACTCCATTTCAACTCCACATTTCTTCGGTAAAGATTATAGATATGTAACATTAATCCAGAAATTAATTGCAGAGATAGAAAGAGCGAGCGAGCGAGATCAGAGAGAGCAATCTCCTCTACCCTGTCTTCCCTTCATCTCCAATCACATGACTCATTCTTATACAAATCTTCATTTCTTACAGAAATAAAGATCAAACCAAAACAAAATATAAACTAAATCAAAATACATACGTGAACGATGAAGGTCCAAGAAGAGGGTTCTCCCTAATCGGCTGGAAAGAAAACCGCCTTAGAAATCCAGCAAAACAGCTTCTGCTTCCTCCATCGCCACCACCATGAACAGGACAATTGTTAACGAACATTACAACCATCAATACCACCACATTCGCTATCACAATCAAAGGCACAATCCAAGCCGTGCGTTCCCTCTCCTCCACGTCCGGCACATCGTAGAAGTACTGCGGCAACACCATCTCTTCCCCTCTCTTCCCTCCCGCTCTCTCGCCGGCGCCACCGCTCTCCGGATCCTCTCCGGCCATCTCCTCCTCCTCAGCTCTTCTTAGGTTTTTAGAGACTTATAAGTTAGGGGGAGAGTGCGGATCTTGCTTGGCTTTGACGCGGAGGGAGTTTGGTGGCATCGAGTGTAATTAATTGCAGGAATGATGACGGTTTATTAGGTTATTTAAAAAGAATTGACGCCGTTAAGGGCGGCGATTGCCATTTTCGTGATTGTGCGACGACCGACGGTTACCGTAACTTGCCGGCACGCGCAAGCAAAGTAACTGTTGGCAGTTATGCGCACGTGCGAAGGCACGATATTATATATAATTAATTTACGTACATGCCATAAGATTTTTACATATTTACAAATATAATATCTAAAATTATTTATTTACTTATAATAGTATTTACTATTTAGTGTCTAAATTATATTAAAGTACTTGCATAAAAATTATATTTTATTTTAGATAAATTTAATATTTTTTATAAATTAATAATAATATATAAGCAAATATGAAAATTAAAGTATTTGACATGTAAATAAATATAATTCATTAATATGAATGTAAGTCTCCTCATTTTAAATTTATTTTACATCGGACCGTCCGGAGTCGAATCAGAATGCGTCATATCACCCAGTACATAACAAAAAAGTGATGAGGCACGTTCTGATTCGCCTTCGGATAGTCCGGTGTCCGCACAGTATTTTACCATATGGAGACTATCCTATCAACTAAAGCTATTTTTAGGTTATGCAAAGATAAATTTTTTACTTATTTAACAAATAAATCAATTATTCTTATGCCGAACTACTTAGATTAGAACTAAACTTGACTCATAAACACGAGTTGACTCTACTTGAATGAGGAAACTTTTTGAGTGAGAAAATAATGTCCAAAATTTAGCAATGATGAATGTTAAAACTCTTATATTTATTTGAAAATCAATATATTATAAAAATTAATTATTTACTATGTATTACATTTCTATTAAAGTAAATTTAATGATCTTAATATTCATCTTAGTCATATTTTGACTCAATCTTTCTTACATGCACTTGCCACCTCTAACCCTTTAATCCTCCCTTAGAAAGCCTCCAAAGATTGAGATACTTCAACTTGAAAAAAAAAATATTATATTTATTTATATAATATCTTTACTTTAACATTAAAAATACTTATGTCATAATTATTTGATAAATTTTACGCTGCCTATCGACTATCTTACCCAATCTTTTATTTTTCTCATCCAGGATTTAAGACCTGACAACTACGGTGTTTACATTAAAAATACTGCAAATATTAAATGATCTAAAATAAAATACATTTTTTCAACCATATATTTGATTATCATTTAAAACCTACAATGTTATATAAATAAATATAAAAATTACATAAAAGCTCAACGGTATTTATGCAAATCTCCTATTTAAATTATTGCATGCACTTTGTTCAAAATTCTAAAACTAAACTAATATCTTGATAGCAGCACAGGGAATGTTAATTATAATCAAATAATAATTAACGTAGGGATATTAAAAAATAATCTGGGCTTAATTTTTTTTCCTTTTTAACATAAAATAATAAAAGAGTTGAAAATATTTCTAATGAATAATAATTTACATACCAATATTTAAATTTTAGGAGATTGATAATTTTTCAATTTTCCTTGAAAAACTTAAAAGAGGTAATAATCCACATTAGGGGATTGTGTATGATTGCCAGCAATAAAGTCGCGAGGACTACATTGAAAAGCACATTTTGAAAAAAAAAAAATCTATTTTTGTTTTAAAAAATAAAATAATTATGAATTTATTTTCTTGAAGAAATATAGTAAAAAATTAATTTTGGATAAATTATCCAATTTTGTACCCAAAAATTGCTTAATATAAATAAAATGGTTTTGAATGTAATTTGAACATTTATAATTATTATCGTTCTTGAATATTGTTGGCCCCATGAATAAATATTTTCTTTGCATGTTGCCTTCCAAAGTAGTCAGCCCAATGATGATTTCTCCAATTTAGTATCTACTAACTCCACTTCTTGCACACAACGAGTCCTATCGTTGCCTTCCCCAACAAACTCTCTCACATGATGATGGTCTTGCCATGTCGTCCTCCATGAGGCCGAAAAATTATTCGGTGCGGCCACCGGACGACGTCTGGAGACCAATCAGAACGTGCCACATCATTTTTTTACTCAGTCCAGCTATATGCCGGGTGACGTGGCACATTCTATTTGATGTCTGGACTGTCTGGTGTTCGCAACGAATAATCTCTCCCATGAGATCTGTTGCATCCTGGAATATTTGTAGCGGTAGAGAAATATAAATTTAGCGTCTTAGCGTTGTACGAAAATCCGACACGAAATTAGATAAGAAAGAGGGTCTAACATTTATGAGACATCAGGATTTTTACAAGAAAACCCCCTTAAAAGAGCGAAAAATCATGGGTCTAGCCCAGTTTGAATGAATCCAATATTATTCGCAGTCGATTATAAATGAGGCCCTTCCTTTAGGGGGAAGGCCTTGGATTGATGTACATTATATGAAATATATTACACGGTGGTAATACATAGAGTTACTGTGTTGACATGTTTGTTTGGTCGGAAGGACCTTTGTCTGACGACCAAGGTCGGAAGGATCATACTCGACAAGTGACGGAGGTTGGAAAAACTGTAGTCGGTGGGCGATTAGTCGGCGGGCGACGGAGATTGGAAGGACAGTAGTCGGTGGGCGACGTAAGTCAGAAGGACCATAGTTGGTGGACAATGTAAGTTAGAAGGATCATTGTCTGATGATGGAGGTCGAAAGGACTGTAATCGGTGGACGACATAAGTCGGAAGGCCGGTAGTCAGCGGGCGATAGAAGTCAGAAGGACTGTAGTTGGTGGGCGACGTAAGTCAGAAGGACCGTTGTTTGATGATAGAGGTCAGAAGAATGACGTCAAGTAGAAGTTAAGTAATAGACAGAAATCCAGCATCAGATAGATGTTTGGCGAAAGTCCGACATCGGGCATAAGTCTGACGTCGGGTAGAAATCTGACAACGAGCGAAGGTCCAGGGTTGAGTAGAAGTCCGATGTCAGTCGACGGCCGGGGAGAACTCCGATGTATTCCGACAAAACTTCAAAGTCATTTGGAGATCAGACAAAATTCTGGTGTTACTTGGAGATCGAGCAGAGTTTCGGCGTCGCTTGGAGATCGGGCAAAGTTTCAACGTCACTTGGAAGTCGGGCGAAACTTCGGCGTCACTTGAAAGTCGGACGGAGCCCCGTTGTCACTTGAAAGTCGGGCGGAACTCCAGCGGTGGTCGAGGAGTTTCTTCCCTCCGCTTATTCTCTTCTCTTCTCCTTCTTCTTTTCTTCTTCTTTTGCTTGGGTCCCCTCTCAAGAGAAATGAGGAGATTTTTATAATTTTTTTGGAGGATTTGGAGGAGGATCAAGGGCAAAAGGGGATTGATTTGGATGGACGATCGATATTGAATCTCTTGATTGCAGATTGTTCATCAGACATTTGAAGGTCTTGATGATATCGGAATTCGGCGATCTTGGGCTCATTGGATTCATCTTGTCAAGCCGCTCGATTCAACTATAAGTATGTTATGTTTGGAAACCGTTTGGTGATTCAAATTATGGATTGAACCTTCCGAATGTGCTTCAGGTCTTCGATTTGGATCTATTTGGGCTCGGATTGAGTTGAATTTGGTGTAATTTGGCTCATATTTCCAAGACGCTCAGTTCAACTATAAGTTTGCTGAAATCAGAATTCATATGATCCCATATTTAATTTTTGAAGTTTCCAACTTGATGTTTGCCTCGAGATTTGTGTCCGATCAAGAAAATTTTTTGATGACATATCAAGATCTATCCACGAACTCCACTTCTCACAAACAACCGATCCCACCATTGCCTTCGCTAATGAGGTTTGTCGAGCCCAACTTGTTTGTACTTGCATTCCCCAACGAGCTTTGTCGCAAAATCGACCCTACGATGCCTTCCCATTTGCAAACTCTTCACTTCCTCACATGCAACTAATCTCATCATTGGCTTCCCCGGTGAGCTCTGTTCTCCTCATAGAGGCATTTGGAGAACATATATTTACAAAAATGAACCACAAAGTATAAACCAGTTAAAACCTTGGCGTTCCCAAGAACAAACCACATGGTTCAAAACACTTATGAATTTGAACTAAATCTAACCATTCTCAAACAACTTAAGTGTTCAACGAGCAATCCGCAAATACAAGATGTTTATCCCTTATAACGAGCAATTTCATCCAGAATGAACTTTCAGATATATTTCTCCAAAAAAAAATAACCATAACACGGCTCAACTTTTCCTCCATAAGTTTTTTTCTCTCTCAACGTGTGCACAGTAAATTTTACCAAAAAAATAATCATAACACCGCTTTCTTTCTGCTTTTTAAAGCAGCTTTTTAGTTAAAAAATTAAAAAATTTATACTGAAAAGTTGCTTTGAGCAGCAGTAAAAAAAGCCATATCAAACGAAGCCGAAGTCCAACTTTCTCCAACAAAATATATAACACCTTGCTAAAAATTTGAAATGTTATTCATCACTATCAACAGTGAAATTTCCTTCTTTACAGAGAACACAAAGATGTAGAAATAGCAAACAAACTTAAATATCAGAGATTAGAGGGGGCAAAGGACACAAATAGAAGAGACAACACACACATACACAGAATTAGAGGAAATGAATCGCATTCTTTATTTTCTATACCTCTGAGTTGCTGCAGCTTTTTATAATATTATACTTGCAGAGAGGGCATGTTGCATTGATGTGAAGCCATTTGTCTATGCAAGCACAGTGGAAATGGTGACCACAGGGAAGTTGACGCAATTCCACTCCATCATCATAAGCTGAGAGGCAGATGCAGCACTCCTATTTTGCTCAGAATAAGAGAGAAAAGAAAATGAATTAAAATCCTTTTTGTCTTACACCACAATATCAAGGGATACGGAGAACATCTCCAGTTTTTTCCCTGGTTCTAAGAGAAATTTTAGGAGTTAACAATATGCTAGAAAGTCGAATAAATAACTCCATTTCACTTTTAATAAATGAAAATTTTCAACCCTAGAGTTTGAATATGGTCATTCTCAAAAAGTAAATTGCTTAACCTGTTCAGTCACTTGATCTAATATCTCATTGCATGAGGAGAGTTTTTTTTTTTTCCTTCCCTCCACTGGAATTTTAGTTCAAGTTCTTTCAATCATAAGTTGGACAATTATAAGGTTTTATTTGGGATAATTTTTTTTATGCTTTATAAAATAATTTTTTAGTAGAAAACTGTTTTAAAAAGAAATGAGAAAATTGTCCCAAACGAAGCCTAAGTTTCTCAACGGCAAGATTTCCAGCTTAAATTGCTTAATCTCTCTGTGTTCTCAAACAATTTCCACTTCTTTATGAATTTTAGTTCTCATATACAAAAGAAGATAATATGGGAAGCGACTATGGATTTCATGCAACAGAAATGCTCCCACGAGATTGCTTTTACGTACGAAAGAGGATGACTAACGTGGAACAAGAAAAAGGCCTATATAAATTTCCTTCCAAATTCTTGGACACTAATTTCAGCATGTCTTATGGGTGCATTTTCTACATTTCCTTCAGCATGAACAAACCATCAAGGCTTAGTTTCGCCATCTTATTATCAATAAATGACCCTCTATCTGTCCCCCTAATGTAATAATGGCTTTGTCATACATCTCGTAAAGCTCTGATCTGCCACATTCAACATGGTTATAAGCATTTTGTTTACTGCCCCACACCCAATTCCATGCAATATAGTCGAACTAATTGTAACGTTAGAAAATTTATCTTTCAACCTCTTAAGAAATTCTCTTATAACATAATTATCCTGAAACAATTATTCATTTTGACCACTCAGCCTATAGTTCAATTGAAACTACAGAAATTATATCATAGTTTTTATCCAAATTTTAGTATAATAAATTTAAGATAATTAAATAAATCACATAAAATATCACGTTATCATCTAGTAATATTGATTGATAATATTTATATTATTCAACTTTTGTTCTATTAATCGTAAATCATTTACCTTCTTTTTTTTTTTTCCTTGTTCCAACTTATTTGTATTTTTTTAACTGAACCCAAATCCTTTCATTATTTTCCAAATCTTTTTATTATTTTTTTTTTTTTTTTGGGTGCTCAGAGTGCTTGAACGCTCACCACTATCGTGGGGAGGCCAAGCCCAACCATTGGGCCCAAGCCTTATAATATTTTTTCTTCAAATTTTTTTACTTCTTTCAACTGATAACACATCAAATAGAAACCATGTCATTTAAGAAAAGCATACACCAAAGGATCTCACTTATAACAACTTCGTTAGCATCTCCAACAAATATAAGAAGAGAGATATAATGTTCCTTTTTAATATAATTCTATTAAAAAATTGAAACTCTTCAATTTATTGATTACTATTACTGACAAATATTATTATACTCAGAAAACCATATGCTATTTTTCTTTATTTCCAAGTCCATGTTTCTGATTCAAATCTGAAACATAATCTAAATAATTTCCAAACAATCATGTTAACCTTGTTCCTAAAGTTATCAGAGATGAAATGTTATCCACTACTAATGATAGATTCCAAAAATACCTTATAAAGTGGAAAGACATGTCTATAGGTGAGGATTTCTAGTATTTATTTACAAGAAGTGCTACAATTATGCCCAAATCTATTTAGTGAATATCAACTGAACAATTTGCGCAAGTATTTTTTTTTTCAAGGTAGGGCTAACCTACAACTAAACTCGTTATTCTTACGACGACTTCCCAGATTTTGCGATCCTTTCTCTAGTTTCTCTGTTTGGTGGCTTCTCCTTAATGCTTTATGTGATTCGATTGCACACAAAGGATGTTGGCTTCTACTTATCATTATGATTCTATTGCACAAAATATGAGCCTTTTAATATTCCTATTCGTATGAGGTTCTCGCAACAAAAATTTTGCCGTAATTATAGAAGTCTTTAACAATTTGAAATAGGGCAATTTTATGATTTTAAATTTTTTTATTAGAGGATGTTGAATTCAAGAAGAGTTCATGATTATAAATGCATATATCATGTACAATCAATTTTGTTTTGAATGAAGTTAAAGCTAGATATGTTATTCCATCTATTTTGAGGACTCAACTCCTTAATCAAGTGTGAGACTGAAAATTTTTGAAAGAGGATTTCCTTGTACAAATGTGAGGCTTTCTTTATTAATTTCTGTGATTTTTTTTCCTTATACTTTTTTTTGTTCCAAAATTTGTTATTTGACTTGTTGTGTGATTGATTTTATTCAAATTCAATACAATTTAATTTTCAACACGTACGTGAAGTTCATCTTATAGCATGCATTTAGTTGTTCTGAAATTCTATTCATCATATCTATTCTACAAAAAGGCAGTTGGATTTTTAACTGAATTGACTTCTTACATAAATTAATGAATAATTGTCAAAAGATTAAACGTTGGAGGCTAATAAATTTTGTGTGCTGATTGCATGATTTTACACATCTCATATTAGATCTACATTAGAAATCCTAAACCAACATCTAAGTCTCTACTGAGCTTTTTTGTCAAACAACCATATTTATGGCTTAATAGGTTTTAAAAAAGCATCTCCTGATCAACATATTACCAAACTAAGCTTGAAATTGATTTGGAAAAACCCAAAATGATCAATTGTGACTAATATGTAAGAATATGATTATGATATTGATACCTCTTGAACCACAAAAATCAACGAACAACAGTAAATTTCAACAAAATAATAGAATTTTATTGCTAGGAAATCAAATAACAAGAAGCAAGATACAATTGATACTCTTTCAAGAGGAGGATCTTCTCTCCCAAACCCTAGAAGCCGCTAGGATCTCTCACAAAAGAAAACTACAACACTCAAGATAAAATTCTACACAAGAATAAAATAAACCCTACTATGGACTTAAATAGGCTTCCTCCCCTCACTACTAAATCAGCCTCCTTTCTAATATATCTCTCTCATTAATTTGAAAACAATTCAATTAGGAAAGGGTCTCATTAGGAAAGAATTTCCTAATTCAGCCCTCTAACTAATATATCTCCCTCCTTAATTTGAAAATAATTCAATTAGGAAAGGATTTTATTAGGAAAGTGTTAGGCCGGTCCAACCTGGACTAATCCTTCCTAATTCAGCTACCCAAATATAGAAGGATATTGGCGTGATCCAGGTGAGCCTCCCACGGATTCTCATCTTGACCGTGGGATCAAATGCCAATGGATGACTGAGATTTTGACAATAATATTTATATCATACCATTTAAAATCATATATCATATATTCAATTCTTGTTCTATTTATCTTAAATCATTTACCTACTTTTTTTTTCCTTGTTCCAACTTATTTATATTTTTTTAACTAAAACCAAATCCTTTCATTATTTTCCAAATCTTTTTTTTTTTTTTAAATTTTTTTTTTTTTTTTTTTTTTTTTGGGTGCTCGAGTGCTTGAACGCTCACCACTATCATGGGGAGGGCCAAGCCCAACCATTGGGCCCAAGCCTTATAAAAACTTCTTTCAACTGATAACACATCAAATAGAACCATGTCATTTGAGAAAAGCATACACCAAAGGATCTCACTTATAACAACTTTTGTTAGCATCTCCAACCAATATAAGAAGATAGATATAATGTTCATTTTTAATATAATTCTATTATAAATGGAAACTCTTTAATTTATTGATAACTACTATTACTGATAAATATTATCCTCAGAAAACCATATGCTATTTTTCTTTATTTCCAAATCCTTGCTTGTGATTCAAATCTGAAACATAATCTAAATAATTTCCAAACAATCATGTTAGCCTTGTTCGTAAAGTTATCAGAGATGAAATGTTATCCACTACTAATGGTAGATTCCAAAAATACCTTATAAAGTGGAAAGACATGTCTATAGGTGAGGATTTCTAGTATTTATTTACAAGAAGTGCAACAATTATGCCCGAATCTATTTAGTGAATATCAACTGAACAATTTGTGCAAGCATTTTTTTTTTCAAGTTAGGGCTAACCTACAACAAAACTCGTTCTTGTTGCGACGACTTCCCAGATTTTGCGATCCTTACTCTAGTTTCTTTGTTTGGAGGCTTCTCCTTAATGCTTTATGTGATTCGATTGCATACAAAGGATGTTGGGTTCTACCTATCATTATGGTTCTATTGCACAAAATATGAGCCTTTTAATATTCCTATTCGTATGAGGTTCTCACAACAAAATTTTTGCCGTTATTATAGAAGTCTTTAACAATTTGAAATAGAACTCTTTTATGATTTTAATTTTTTTTTATTAGAGGATGTTGAATTCAAGAAGAGTTCATAATTATAAATGCATATATCATGTACAATCAATTTTGTTTTGAATGAAGTTAAAGCTAGAAATGTTATTCCATCTATTTTGAGGAGTCAACTTCTTAACCAAGTGTGAGACTGAAAATTTTTTAAAGAGGATTTTTCTTTGTATAAATGTGAAGCTTTCTTTATTAATTTCTGTGAATTTTTTCCTTCTACTTTTTTTTTCTAAACTTTATTATTTGACTTGTTGCGTGATTGATTTTTGTCGAATTCAACATATTTTCATAGCATGCATTTAGTTGTTCTGAAGTTCTATTCATTATCTCATTTCTACAAAAAGGCAGTTGGGTTTTTAACTGAATTGACTTCTTACATAAATTAGTGAATAATTGTCAAAAGATTAAAGGTTGGAGGCTAATAAATTTTGTGTGGTCGTTGCATGATTTTACACTCCTCATATTAGATCTACATTAGAAATCCTAAACCTACATCTAAGTCTCTACTGAGCTTTTTAGTCAAACAATCATAATTATGGCTTAATAGGTTTTAAAAAGCATCTCCTGATCAACATATTACCAAACTAAGCTTGAAATTGATTTGAAACAACCCAAAATGATCAATTGCGACTAAAATGTAAGAATATGATTATGATATTGATACGTCTTGAACCACAAAAATCAGCAAACAACAATAAATTTTATCAAAATAACAGAATTTTATTGCTAGGAAATCAAATAACAAGAAGCAAGATACAATTGATCCTCTTTCGAGAGGAGGATCTTCTCTCCCAAACCTTAGATGCCACTAGGATCCTCAGAAAAGAAAACTACAGCACTCAAGACAAAATTCTGCACAGGAATAAAATAAACCCTATTATAGACTTAAATAGGCTTCCTTCCTCCCTCCTAAATCAGCCCCCTTTCTAATATATCTCCTTCATTAATTTGAAAATAATTCAATTAGTAAAAGATCTCATTAGGAAAGGATTTCCTAATTCAGCCCACTTACCAATATATCTCCCTCCTTAATTTGAAAATAATTCAATTAGGAAAGGATTTTATTAGGAAAGGTTTTCCTAATTGATTTTCTTCTAATATAATGTATTAATTCCCTGCTAGGCCCCACCCCTTTAACCTCATTTCTTACCTTGTCCAGCCATGCCCTATCAGATATCTTCGTTGACTTAGTTTAAGTATCTGAAACATGAGATGTTGGATTGGTTCAGCTATCACACTCATTAAAATTTTAGTCATAATTCAATCCAAAAATTATGCAATCTTCACTAGGCCTACCACAACAAATGGCCCACAAATTCTGGAATTTGACACGTCATCCAATGTGCACCAACAAGTAGGCCAATCATATCAAAATCGGTCAAAATTTAAATTTAGAATATATTGTTTCAAACAATCAATAACTCGACAAAGTCTAGAAATTTATCCCCCTTATGGACCTGGCAGGTTAAAGCTGACCTAAAAGGATCAGATCTTAGCTAAAAGTTGAAACCATTCTTCTAACATTAAGTTCTGCACCAAGATATGCAGACCTTTGTACAGCTACACTAGGTCATGGACAAACTTCAAAGAACTAACAACCTGGAGTGACACCTTACTCTATGAAACAATATAATTAGTAGTTACATAATACAAATGTTTTTAAATTTGTTGAGAGAGAGAAATTAAGACAAAATATTTCTCCTGCATGAATTAAAAAAAAAAATACACCTTCAAATCAACATGAATTCATATTAGCAACTAAAGAAAAGCGTACATTCCATGAAAAAAAAAACACATTTATTGCCAGTTCCATGAAGCCCTGCTTACAATAACTGTGTGAAGGTAGGTGCTACTCAGATGCACTTGAACAGATCAAATGAAATGGATACAATCAATTAATGGTTATTAGCCCTACCTTTCATGGAAAAAGATGCTCCCATTATAAATTGATAACAAGCATGGGTGAAATAAGAAATTTTCCCAATCCAACCAGATAAATGTGAGCTTAAAATACATCAGCTGATGGCATAGCAACTGAGGAATATATTTCTTTACCACATGTGCCCCTGCCCTCCGAACACACACACCCACACACACGAAGACACCCCATGAATATCTTTTGTTAAAATCTTAATAACTACTACTAAAACAAAAAGACTAAATGCTAATCCTTGATAGAATCCAAAGGAGTTTGGAAACGCTTTTATGAACCTACAGCTAATTCTGAAGCCCCATGTACTTCATCATATATAAATATAGAGAATTATACATTTACTCTTTAATACCCACTATAGCAATTTTCATGATACTCGATCACATAACTTTTTTAAAAACAATGAAAATCATATCAAAATCTATCTTTGCCTTACATGATAGATCTTTCAAGCTTAAAATTAAATTGATTATGTTAAAAACAATGAAAATCATATCAAAATCTATCTCATTTCATATCAAGCATTTGCCCTCTCACTTTTTAAGATTTTAGTAAAACATTTGCTAGACATACCACAACAATATTTCCGATCACTCTTAAAACCTCAATTGGTATCTCATATAATTCTAAAGATTAATCTTTATGTGCTTCAAAGCCCACTTAATTTTACTTTCTTAAATCAATCTAAATATACTTCACATTTTATTCATTTTTCCCCTCTAAAAAAATTTCTTCATTAAAAATTATCAACATTTTTTAAATTAAGTAGGTTTTAATCTTTTATTCTTGCTCATGTTTCCCTTAAAAGCACAATATATTGGCACGTATATTTAACTTTATCAATGTCCCTACATATATTATCTCTTACCATAGCTATTTATATATCGTCTTTTAACAGTAAGTACCACGCTTACTTACAAAACATCAAAAGTTGCAACTTTGGATTTGTTTATTGTCATACTTATGGTATAGAAAAACTTAAAATATACCAAAACCCTCACTCTTGTCATACCATCGTAGGAACGACCATTTCAGATTTTAAATAATTACCAAGTGCAAAAAATTCCAGATAAAAAATAATCAGTCATAGATGAATAAAATGGCAATAATTGAATAATTCAACATGTTGATATTAATTTGATCTAGAAGAAAATCAAGATATTTACCGCATCATCAGATGAAAGCCGAACCTCATTTTGAGGATCGCCGCATTCAGTCATTATTCCTCCACAAGATCTTGATATCTCATCAATTTTTTCAGAATCTCCTGCTCTTCTGAATTTGAACTTCGGAAGACGGCGGATGTCATCTTCTGATGCACCTTCCTGCTTTATATTATATACATGAAAAACTGATTATCAGATCAGCAAATTTATCACTGCAGCGCTACTTTCGTAAAATCACAAACAGTAGAAAATAAACATGATTAAATTAACTAGGAAAGCGTGCACAAAGATTTTAGAATTAAAAGAAATACAAAAAAACATGTTTTTTTTTAAATGACTCAAGTGTGATTCAAATATGACTATCTAATTATAGGTAAAATAATCTATTTCTAACGATATGTCATTTCTTTATTTTCTTGATCTAATTTCTTACATGCAACTTCTTATTAGATAGCTAGGGCTCTTGATTTTGTTCCAATTTGACAAAACTAAGAATCTAGCTATTAAATTATAATTGATTGATGACTTTACATGGTTTAAATTATAGTTAAATTTTTTCAGATCTAATCAATCATTGCAGTATCATTCCGGTTCTAATACTCATATTTAATGTTAGCATTGTAAGTTAGCTTATTACTGGGTTAGTAATCCGCAAATCCTAAATTTTCTTACATAATATGTATACATCACATCATTCAAGTTACATTAGAGAATTATAATCCTAATTGTTGTACATTAAATTAATATCAAAGCTTCTGCTTGAGTTATCCTGCCACTGAGAAGTGGAGCCAATCACCAACTTTAATCAAGTCAAATTACATAAAATCAACTCAATCGATTAGAATCAAGTCAAATTAAACTAAATCGAGTCGAATGCACTTAAATTAAGCTCAATCAAGTCAAATAAAGTTAAATTGAGTCAAATAAAACTTAATCGAACTCAAATCGACTTCAGTTGATGCACTCACTTCAGCCTTTACCATATTGGGTCATGCATTAACCTCTTTAGCGTCTTGTAAGTTTTTAAATCAATCCAAGCATGATCGAAAAGTTAATGATTATAGTGGAGCTTAAACAAGCATGGGTTGGTCCTTCTCCTGCATTTTCTAGTGAAGTCGAATCATATTAGGGGAAGTGGCCAGGTGATCTCAGCTGCCCAACTATAATGAATTAGGGTTAGGATGGTCATAAAGTTTAATCTTTGGGCAAGACAAAACCAGAGAAAAAAAATTGGGGGAGAGAGGTTTTTGGTTCTCAGATCTTTCGACTAGGAGAAAAAATGTAGAGAGTGAGCTCTTCAATCGAGTGTGATGACTATAAAAAATAGCAAGATTCAGCTAGAGGAAAATCATAGAGAAGATGAGCTCTTTGATATAAAACAACAACAACAACATCAAGCTTTTATCCCACTGCGTCGGGTGGTCAGCTTCATGAATCTTTTTTTCTCCATTGTGTCCTATTAAGTGCTTTTCAATCAACAACAATAACAAAATCAAGCCATTATCCCACTGTGTGGGGTCAGCTACATAAATCCTTTTTCTCCATTGTGTCCTGTTAAGAATCAGATTCTCATTTAAATCTAATAAAGCAAGGTCATTTCTAATATTTTCTAACCATAAGAGCTTTTCAGTCGATTGGAATAAATAAAGGAGTGAAGGCATTTGGTGGCTGTGAGTTGTCAATTTCTCTACTATCCATGCATAACCTGCTTGTAATTTTAGAAGCAACTTCAATGTCAAAGGGAAGCTTTTCTTTTGTGTCAAATTAAGTTTGGTCAACCCTAGTTGGTTCTAATCACTAAGACCTCTTTCTCTTTCTCATTTATCAACCTCTAGTGAGTTGGTGGTGGATACGATGTTTAGAAATAGTCCAAGTTCTCATAAGCACTATTATCCTTTTCAGTTGTCTTTGTTTCTACCAAATGAAGACACTACGGGTTTACGGTTGTAAGTCATCAAACAATAATTTCGAGCAGGTATTTTCTCAAACTTGAAGAGCATAGGTCTATAGGTAAAATTAATTTTTTTTAATGTGTATTTTAAATCATTGTTTTGCTTAGTTTTTCATAGATCATTAAAATTTTACCTATTTATTAACTTAGTTTTTCATAGATTTTTTCATTGTTTTGCTTAGGAATGGCCTAGGCATTTAATATAATAAACTTTTAGAAAGTTAAGTTTTCTATCTATAAAAAATGTAAGCAATCTTAAAATTAATCATAAGATAATATTTTTCAAATAAACCTACATAACTTATAAAAAATAATCTAATCAAAACTACAAGGAAATGCATATCCTCCATACGAATCTCAATACTAAATTTAGTATTTGAGTGATCGTTTATCCATAAGAGCGTGCTAATTCAAAATCAGCATCAAGTCCATATATTTAGCAATTGAACATATATACAGAACCTTGTGGGGCATATATAGAAATAAAAATCCTCATAATAAGGACTAGATAACGAAGCAAATGCATTGTTAATCAGTATATACATACCTTCATGATTAGATATCTTAACTTAATTGGCTAAGTTCAAAGTCATCTTTCCTAAAATGAAAACAGCCTAACTTATCTTGCATATGCATTGAAACTAGCACTATAAGGTGTTAAAAGCACTTAGGTGGGTTTAACTTGTCATCCTTTTTGGGCAAAACTGTAAGACCAAAGGTCGGACTAACTTAAGAACAAATAAGATATTAAGTTCATAAATCTCATGCATTTTGGCTGTTGGGTGTCTCGGGTGGAGCCTCTCCTAGGTCTCCTCACTTTCTCTCAAGCTCTCAAGCAAGAAGAAGATTGAAATCTCAGAATTTTTTTATTAATCAAACACTAAGCTCATACAATAGTAGGAGACCTCTATATAAAGGTCTCAAAAAAAGAAAATAACATGGCTCAAATGCCCACAGGGCTACAACAAAGACTAAGCATCCATAAGGGCAAAATAGTAAACTAAAAACTTGAAATTAAAAGATACATAGAAAATCTCAGAAAATGACATGGAAACATCATAAATATAAGCTCCTAATCGTAGCCGTCGATCTACGATTTCTTCGTCGATAGACCTGCCTAAAATGTCTGTCGATGACCTCATCAGTCTTAAGTTTCTTGTAATTAAGTAATCCAATATTTCCATGTTTAACAACTATTCAAAATCAATTTTAAGTAAATCCAATCATTCTTGAAATTCCAAATATCAAATCTTTGAAATGAATTTATTAAAAATCATATAAAATATTAAGCAATATTTATTAAACAAATACAAACTACTATTGTAATTAAAAATCTTCAAGGGTCAAATATCCTTGGAATGTAATTAATCACAGAAGCTTGCTCTTATGGGAAATATGTACCCATAATAGAATAAACTCTATTCAATTAAATATATTGTGTGCGAAAAAATCTTTAGACGTATAAAAAAAATAAAATGTAAATTTTGTTATTGAGTCAATAGCAAAATAATATTTTTGTTCATTAAGATAATGTATTATTTTTAATGTCGTATTTGATCATAAATTATTTCAAATATATTCAGAATATAAAAATTCCCCATCAATCTTGCAAATACACGAATTAGAAAGCGAGCGTAAAGCAATAATTAGGTCGTCTTCATTGTGACTTAGTGATCATAGAATCGAAGCAAAAAATAGTATACTTGCAGAGTAGGATAAGGTTATATGCATCAACCCCTTCAAAAAATCTTCTTTTTGCTACAACCTCATGAGTTGGGTATCCCTTACCTGCATTGTAAGCATGATATGCTGACATGCATGATTTACAAAGCAACGCCACCCTAAGTATTGTAAATAATTGTAATTACTTTTTCTTGTTTGATAAGCAGCATTCAAGCGTAATGCCAAACTTGAGAAGCGGAGAAACGTGTCACTTTAAGTAGGTTAAATTTACCAACCTGATCTTCAAAATGTACTGCTTTCCAACTTAGGCTAATAATGGCCAACTAGGAAAAAAAAAAGCTTAGTCTCTTGATTGAAGTTATTTATGAACAAACTCAACCAATTGCAACACCTATAGAAATAAGGTTACCAGTTCACTGTAAAATTTTAGGAGGCATCATCTCGTAGAACATATGAACCATTTTTTAAAGTGAAACTCAGCATTGCTTTGCTCTATTTTCTAAGAGGCCTCAGATTCTTATGGCTATCATTGCGATTAAATAAAACTGCTACTGAATTTATCTTGTGAGCAAAATATGGATAAGGAAGAACTAAATAAAAATAATCAGCTACAGATTTGATTCATCATCAAGACATCAACTTATAGTATTAGTGTTGAGATTCGATTGCTCAAGGGCTATCCTGATTGAGGTGAAGAAAGCCACGTTAGGTAATTAATGCAAGAAATGCTACAAGAGGGAAAAAAAAAAGGTTCCCATGATAGAAATGCTATCTTTACAGAACATTATGGAACTTCAAAGAGATTAAAAGCAGTTTATCAAGGTTACTTACCTGGTCGGCTACTGCATATAAGATTGCAATGATACATGGTAGACAGCAGCAAACAGCAATGCCAATGATGCATGCAAGAGCAACACAGAAAACAACAAAGAATACATCAAATGCCAGAAACACAATGCACAGCCTGCAAGAAAAGATTGTTAGCTGTAAATTAACAGGCAAAAGGATAAAAGGAAATAAAATACAACTACATAGATTTAGCACGTAAGCAGAGAATTACTCATACCAGTAAAGTTGAGGTGCATCACTAGTTAAGGCTTGACCTCCGGCAGATACCCAGTAGAAACCAATTATCCACCATATGAATGAAAACATTGTGTTTGCAGACTCGAGATGCTTTGCAATACTGTTTGTTAATGATATAAAATCAGTAATAATACCAGAAAACACGATAGCATAAAGTAAAGAGAACGGGAATCAGACAAGTCAAGTTCAGATTCTGAACCACGCAAGGTAGGGAGGTCAAGAAAATAAAATAAAAAGTAAGTCATATTTTAAAAAGATGCAAAAGGTTCAACTCACGTATAATAAGAACAACCACCAAAATTGGATTATTTTCAGAAAGACACTTGCACATGACCAACAAATATAACAACATTCATATTTTCCATCATTCCTGTTACCTAAATAAAATTTCAAACAATGTTAATAACAATTTTTATTGAGCATTTTAAGGCTGTATGCGCCACGAGAATAAGAATAACTAAAGGGGCTGAAACTCCACAACTAGATAAGAAACTACGATTCAAATAAGTAACCAAAGGAGGTACTGTCCTGTGTAATACAATTTTGCTTTTTTTTATATACTTCCATTAAAAGAGTTGGAGTTAATGCCCTTGACGCATTTACATGAAAGATTCGATGTGAATGACCCAAGTTCTGCATGTAGACGACATGCCAGATTGAATTCAAGCTAAACTCTCACACTCATCTAGGGTCAGTGGCATAAAAAAAAAACTCTAATCACATGTAACTCAAACTTGACTCAATTACATTCCTATTCTCATTTCCATAGGCATAAGCATAAATATAATAAATAGTAAATATAACATGAGAAGTACATTAACCAATATTAGAAAAAAACCATCACCTTGCACAAGATTATAGAGGAATTAAGTTAATGTGTCATACTTTAAAACTATGGGAGAGAGTTATGGAGCATAGGTTACGGCGTGACACTAATGTTTCTCAAAATCAATTTGGATTCATACCAGGTAGGTCTACTATGGAAGCTATATATTTATTGAGAGGTTTGATATAAAGTATAGAGAGAACAAGGAGGATCTACATATGATTTTTATTTATTTAGAGAAAGCATATGATAAAGTTTCAAGAGAAGTGCTATGAAGAGTTCTACATAAGAAAGGGGTTAATAATGCTTATATTCAAGTCATTAAGGATATGTATGCAAGAGCTGTTACTTATATAAGGCGGTTTGACCAAGTATTTTCCTATTTAAGTTGGATTACATCAAGGACCAGCCTTAAGCCCATATATTTTTGATTTAGTCATGGATGTTCTCACTAGACATTTGCAAGAGATTGTAACCTAGTGTATGCTTTTTGCTGATGATATTCTTCTTGTTGATAAGACTAGAGAGGGAGTTGAAGGTAAACTTGAATTATGGAGGTCAACCTTAGAGTCTAAAGGCTTTCGGTTGAGTAGATCTAAAACTAAATATATAGAGTGTAATTTTAGTAATAATAGATCTAGTGGGGGATTGTGACTTTGGGCGATCAAGTCATTAATAAAAGCACATATTTTAGATATCTTGGGTCTATTGTTCAGAGTGATGGTAAGATAATGGGGATATTATTAGTAGAATTTAAGTTTGATGGTTGAAGTGGAGGAATACATTGGACTTGTTATGTGATATAAAATTCCCTCTCAAACTTAAGGGAAAATTCTATAAGATAGTAGTGAGACATACAATGCCTTATGGTGCAAAATGTTGGCCATTAAAAGAGAAGCATAATATTAAGTCAAGTGTTGCAGAGATGAGGATGCTCAGGGTGATGATGAGTGGCTTTCCTATTAAAGACATGATACAAAATGAGCATATATGTGAAAAAGTTTCCGGTGCAAGATAAGATTAGAAAGTCTCCTTAGATGGTTTTGTCACATAAAACGGTGGTCTTCTGATGACCCGGTTAGGAAAGTAGATGTATCAGATTTGACTTATATTAAGAAAGGTAGAGGTTGACCTAAAATGACTTCGTTAGAAAATATTAGAAATGACCTTTGTTTATTAGATTTAGATGAGAATTTGACCCTTAATAGGACACAATGGAGAAAAAAGATTCATGTAGCCGACCCCACATAGTGGGATAAAGGCTTGTTGTTGTTGTTGTTGTTGTTGTAGTAGTATAAAAATGCCATCACCTAATGACTAATGCAAGGAAAAAAAGAAGCACAGAGCCATAGAAAAAAATAAAGAGGTGATTCTTTGCTCATTAAATGATTATGTTTCCTATTTTCCCCACACTTGATTTCCTATTGAATATCATGGGGTGCATGATTATGAAATGGAAAATATATCAACTATTTCTAGATAGGCTCATAAGAATAAATGGAAATACAAAACAAAATCAAAATTGTCATCATAACGATAAACCTTGTCCCTCCTATTTGGAGGTAGCTTCATGAATCGTCCTTCTTTGTTCATTCTTTTTTATTGTTATGCATGATGCAACACTGCTGCATAACTGCTGCATAACACCTAGCCATTTTACTTTTGTTCTAACATTTTCTTTTTATCCCAGCACATTAATTCTATTTACATGTGAAATCGGTACATCTTCTAAAATTTCTTTGAATGTTCAAATCACTTAGGTGTATTTTCTACTACATCTTTAATTGGTTTTTTAACCACTGTCCATCTTATATAACCATTTCTCTTTATCACTCCTAGTTTTATGGCATTTTTTACTAAATATTCTCAATTTCTCATTAATACCAGAATATACTTCTTCACTACTAATATTCAATTCACATAAGGTATAAGATCTAACTCCAATGTCATCAAGAACATGAATTCTTCAAAGCATTGAATAACTAACCGCATCAATAAAACAATACTCCAAATCATCAGTCTAAGATCAAATTTTATTTTAGATAACAAGAAAAACACAACTCTTGAAATCAAGTTTTGCTATAGTTTTAATGCTAATTAAAACAATAAATGATGTAGTTTAAATTCAAATTGAGAACAACTTAAAATCTAAGAATTTATAACGTCAACCTTCTAATCATAGCTTTGATGATCAAAAGTCACACCAATATCTGGCAAACTACTACAACATGCTATAAACGACAGTTTAGCAAAGATTTCAACTGTCTCGTTATTTCATATTTCAAATTATTCCGGCGCGAAAACCATCAAGGTGATCTTCCACTGAACTACTGGAGGCTTCTAAAATGTACTGCAGCACTGCAACTAATCCTGCTCATCCATATGATACAGGTTTGACATTTTAATCTCATACCTACTGCCTTAATGCAACATCACGTTCAAAGGTGCTTTATGCAAAGGTTGACCACATCAACTTACATTCAGATACGCCCATCTAAGGACAATATTCCAAACATGAACACCAAACAATATTCATCTATGTTTCAAACCTCAATTACTAATTATTTAAGGAAGATGTGTGTGATAAACACGATTTTAATAGTCTTAGCACGAAACGTGCAACTTGACAGTGTTTTCTACCAGCTTTTAACAAGTATGTACATCCACACAATAAATAAATGATCTACTTTCTTAGTTAATTATAGTCTTACAAGTGCAACAGAAAAAAAAAAAGGAATCACAGGCCAAAGCAACCCTTTTTTTTTCCATTCATTATGCAGTTCAATGAAAAAATAATAATAAAATACAAAAGCTGCTCTTTCCAAATAAGCAGTAACAAGAATATGAATGTGTTACCTATTATTCCCTTCCTCGTCTAGGCCCTGCTCAGAATCATAATTTGCAGCACCAGCTCTACCTTCTTCCAAATCCCTCGGGGAACTTGGGCCAGAACTTCCCTGACTCCTGCCTCCTTGGCTTCCATTTCCCCCATACTCCAAGACCAAAGCCGCTTGCAGTTGTGGATGCCTCCTCCGATACTCCACGCAGACACAGATCATATGGACCACACACTGTAGCGCATAACCCACGATCCATATCCTCAGCGGCATCTTCGGCTTCTCGTCCCTGCTCATGATCAGAACCCCCGTCGCCACCCCAACGAACGCTAGATTCCACAGGATGTCCAGAAATACCACAGGCCTCGAATACGCCCAGTCGCTCTGCCGCTCCTCAAGCTGCTCCGCCGCTGTCTCCCTCACAAGCATCGACGGCTCCCTCATCATCCGGCGGCTGCTCGCCCTCCTCAGAAACCTCGCCGCTCCACTCAAGCTTGGCCGCCTGGAAGGCCTCCGCAATCGCTCATCTCCGTTTCCGCCACGCGCGCTGATCAGCGGTGCCGGATCGATCGCGGCTCCCACCATCGGATTGATCGCCCTCGTAGCTGACATCGCCCAGACCCAGAAGTAACCAGATAGCAATTGGTGGAGAATCCACAGTCGAGAATGAGATATAGAAACCCTACCCCTTCCGACCTGCTCGATTTCGCCCCCAATGATTGATCGGTAAATTAATCTCGAGGTTAATCTAATCGAAACGACGATGGCTTCAATCTCCGATGCGACGTACAGTTCACCATTTTTAGAAATTTAAGAATTTCTCAATGAGGTTCGTGCTGTGATCGCCGGCTGAAAATAGTCGGAAAAAAAGAGGGAAATACGTTCTCAGTGAGTGCGAAATCGTTATTGGACAAATTCTATTTACACAACTTCGTTAAATTCTATCTATTAGTCAAATTCCGCTATAAATACGTGTGATATTAAAATAAATTGGAAATTGTTTATATATCATACAAATTTTATCTTATTTATATATTTAATATTAAAATTTCATTATTTATTCACTTAAATTTAAAATAAAAATAAAAAATATCAATTACAACTATCAAAAGTTCACAATGTTCAGAGACCAATCAGAATGCGCCATTTTGACGGTACTGAGCGAAAGGGTGACGTGACGCATTATGGTTGGTCTCTGAAGGGCATTTGGCGTCCTCACAAAATAATTAATCCCACTATGGCGTACGCCTAGTATTTACTATGGTGTACGCCTAGTGTTTACATGACACCATTGTTAGCTCTACTGCCTGCACGCAATAGTGATTGTGTTTGTCCATCATTAAAACAAAAGCTGGTTCAACCCTGCACACTGAGAACTCCTCATGATATATTCTTTTTGAAGTTCTGTACGTCGCTATTCCCATTGACACATTCACACACTGCCACTCTTGTTAGTGCCCTTTCCAATGAAACCCTAACTCTCTACTCGTGTTCAACGATGGAAGCTCTGTCCAAATAGGGTAGAAAGCGCCATCTTGGTTGGGTAAGATCGGGATTCGATATCTCTCAATGACTTTATTCTATTCTATGAGATCCATTGCAACCTCCTCTTCAACATCAAAGATTTGTAACAAAGTATCATATTTGATCAATAGTAAATTTTATATTTTAAATATACAAATGAGCAAATATCTGTAAATCTCCAAATTTTTAACCTCATATCAATAAATTTTTTTGTAAGAAAAAACATGAATACATACAATATAAAAATACATTATTTTTAAATTTTTGTACACATTAATCTAATGTTGAATTTATTTTTTGTGTACTTTTTTTGACCAATTAAATTTTAATTTATTAGTATAAGATAAAGCAATTCATGAGGAGGAACATTACACCAATTTAATGTCTCTTCTAAGAATAGAAAGAGTTTGATCATAAGCAAACAAAGGACTTTGAAAGATCAGTTTGTCTCTATTGTTTATCTTCTCATATAATGAAACTTTCTTCTAAATTTAAAAATATACATATTATTCTCCAAATTAATCATTTTTTTTCTTTTTAAATACTCTATTGATCATCAATTCATCATTTAATTTATAGAGTATGTTATAAGCAATAAGTTGGTTTTCATAAATTTTAATGACATTAAAGTATAGAGCTTTTTTTTCAAACTTTGGAGGGGAGATGGGTCCCACTAACTTGCTTCGAATGTGTGGATATGATTAGTTAAATTTGGCTCGGCTGCTGTAATTCTGTATCATTCGTAATTAATATGTTAGATGTGAAACATATAAAACGTATTAATAAGTTTGATGATTAGAGCCTGTGAATATGCTGCTAATAATGTTCTTGATGTAGTTTTGCTAAATTCTTTATTTACTCTTGAACATAAGTAGTCCATTCTCATCTAATAAAAAATCAAAATTATACTATCATGAACTTCATGACATGTTCAACTTTAGATCCATTCAATTTATAAGTATTTTCATCTCAAATACTAGATGTTTTAGTGTCTTCAAATTCATAGTTATAATATAAAACTTCCAACTGAGAGCATTCAATATAGGCTTCGTTAGGGACGGCTTTCTTACTGCTGCTTAAAGGAGTTTTTTAGTACAAAAATTTTAACTTTTATACTAAAAAATTGTTTTGAGAAACATTAAGAAAATAATCCCACACTAAGCCATAATGTTAACCAATATGTTTATAATTTAAGCTTTATTTGAGATGACTTTCTTATTGTTTTCTGAAACAATTTTTTAGTATAAAATTTTTTAATTTAAAAATTTTTTGTACTGATAAATTGTTTTAGAAAATATTTAAAAAATCATTCTAAACGAAGCCTTAATTCATTTGGATTAAAATATAAATTATGTTTTAATAATTGTTTATTGATAGCCAACAAAAGCATTCCAAACCCAAGAGACAATCCCTTAGAAATACCATCAGGTAATAGCTAATTATTACTACATCTCTCTTAATTATTCACCCAAAATTTCATTTCCAACCCCCAAAAAACCTAAAAATTATACTAAAATTTATTTCCAACCCCTCAAAAAACCTAAAAATTATATTAAATTTTCATTTCCAACCCCTTGATTTGACAACTAATATTCAAATACTAGATATTAAAATTACAGCACTAAACATACAAATATGACAGCAATACCACTAATCACATACTGAAATTACAATTATAACATCAGCAATAATTTATATAATACAATTTGCTCATTATATTTCATTATATAGAGGAAGTCATGCATCATAAATTTGTTTGGAAACTGACCCCTTTATTTACCATTATGATTCTCAACTCATTAAGGCTTCATTTGCGACAACTTTCTTAATACTTCATAAAGCTACTTTTTAGTTAAAAAAAATTACTAGAAAGCTACTTTAAAAAGCCATAAAAAAATCGTCCCAAACGAAGCCTAAGAGGTCTGTTTGGAATAATTTTTTCGTTACATTAATTTTCAGACAACGATTATAATTTTAATTTGGCTGCTACATTATTGTTGCTTTTTCATAACTTTTTAAAAATTTCTATGATGAAAAATCATTTTTCATAATCAAAATAATTAAATTATTTTCTCTATAACAATTTAACAACTAGCCAAATTAACAGAGAGAATTTTAACAAAGAACAATAGAAGATGCACTATTGTAATAGTACAACAAGAAGAGCAACAATTATATAATATACATAAAAGACATTCTTGGCCATTAATGAATTGGGAGCAAACTACTACAAATTTCTTAGCTTCTAAGGAAGAGTTTGGAGTAATCGTTACAGCTGATTTGAACTCTTTGTTAAGGAAAAAATGATCAAGAGAAACACACCATTCATACCAAATGAATATCAAAGAATTGGTTCTTAAATTGATCTGTAGATCTATTTGCAGTAAGATTAAGAGGAAAAGGTAGAGCTAATAGCAGCTGAAGCCAAGTCAAATGAATTCTACTCATATTTTCTACTTCTTTGTATCTGCTGGAATTAAGCGCTGAACCAGTTCTGGAGAAGCACCAGCAAGCTCTACAAGAGATTAGAGTTCTTTTGTAAGATTTTAAATCAATAAAAGAATAAATGAGAGTGTTAGTTCAGGAAAAATGGCTAGTAAATATTTACCTTGGTCGGTGAAATTGAACAAAGGCGGTAGCGGCCGGCCATCCGGTAGAGAAGTGTTTGGGTCTCTCAGTTCATCAAAAAAGGGCTGAGCACAGGCCTCTAACTGCAAGGTTTCAAAAAAGAAACTTAGAAATGGATTATGAAGCTGTATTTCTGTTCAAATATGAAAAATTTCATGATTCATATGTTCTTATTGATAAATTGCAACTTCCATTCTATGTAAGTTCAAGCATTATGAAAGGTAAAAACTACTTCAATGGGTGGAACTAGATATTTGTTCATCTATATTTCTTTTTAAGGCCTCGTTTGGTTCCTCGGCTCTTTTTTTTTTCGTTTTTAAACATAAGTATCGGAATGGAAAACGGAGAAATTTTTTTCTTCTCAGATCGACGAAAATACGGAGGTTCGGGAGAAAGTATTTTGAAAAAGCCATCTTAAGAAACAGCAAAATAATAATTTTTTTGCCTATTCAAACCAGAGACGAAGAAATTACGGCCAAACAAACGAGGCCTAAGTGTGTTGTTTTCTTTGTTAAAAAGAAGTCTTGCTACAATCCATCACCACTAATACTTTAATTAAAAAGTTTAATAACATAATGCGCTAATCATTACTATTTCGGGAACAAAAATCTTTATCATTCATATATTCCATTTGAAAACTGCACGGTGGATTTCCTCTCATTCGAAAACAGTAAGTTTCATGCTTCCTCTTAGATCACAATTACATTTGGGTAATATGATAGAAATGCTTTTTAGCAGAAGTCTATGAACTTAGAACATCAACTTTAAGGTATATCCATTTGTTGATGAATACACCATTGCTTTCCTGAAATCAATAGGTTGTAAAATTTGGATAAACATCTGAAATCCATGGAAGCATATTCCAATTGATCCTTCCTTGGGCTGGTTTAAGCAGGCTTTGGATGATGTTTTATATAGTTTGTGGAAGAGAATCATTAGAATCCAATAATAAAATAAACAAACCAAAGTTTATGGAAAATAATTTTCATTAGAAATTTAAGAATATTAAGTAAGAATATCAAGCAAAAATTAAGGCTTCATTTGGGACAGCTTTCTTACTGCTTCTGAAAGCTACTTTTTAGTACAAAAATTTAAATGTGTGTACTAAAAGACTGCTTTAATAAGCAATATGAAAGCCATCCAAACGAAGCCTAAATCCTTTGTGTCGTTTTGCTAAAAAGCAATTTTCAGAGCAACAAATACTGCAGGTGCCTTGACATTCAAAAACTCTTCTTATGGAAAACATGTTAGAACACAAATTATGCTAATGTTAGGATAAAAAGAGGCATGCCATATTTTCTATTAAAAGTCATGTACGGGTGTAATTAATTTAATGGCATAAGCTGTTCTTAATTTTGACTTTTAATAGGACACAATGGAGAAAAAGGATTCATGTAGCCAACCCCACGTAGTGGGATAAAGGCTTGATGTTGTTGTTTGTTGTTGTTGTTGTAAGCTGTTCTTAATTGGCTTCAGCTTGAAGGCAACTTTCTATTTGCCACGTTGATAAATATTTAAGGGAAAATTTGGTTTAGATTGCATGTTGCATGGCTCAAAGCAAGCTTAATAATCAACGACAGAATTTCTGGTAGAGATCTATATGATTTATGCAAACTAGACATACTAAGAAATATCAAGATATTTACAACCAACACTATCATCTTCAATAGCCTACCCCAACTATTTATGGTCTGCTTATTGAATCCCCAGTCTCACTTATATCGAGTGTTGTAGGTGTTAAATTTATTATGCACTAACGATCCACTTCTATTTATGTTATCTTTGATCTACCCTTGCCCACTAATTCATTTCAACATAGTTTTCTACCCATTTTATTAGTCTGTCTCCAATTATATATACTAAGACCACCTAAGTTTATTCTACATTAATTTATCTTCAATAAGACTCTCACTATCTCTTTAATATAATCATTTATCAGCTCATTCTTTTTAATTTTACCACGCATCCATCACAACATTCTATATTTAACGACTTCTTGATCACTCGGCGCTCGAATTCATATAGCATAACCTAATTCAGGCTTCGTTTGGGACAGCTTTCTTATTGCTTCTCAAAGTAACTTTTTAGTACATAAATTTTCTTTTTTGTACTAAAAAGCTGCTTTAAGAAGCAGCAAAAAAGCTGTCTCAAACGAAACCTCAATGACTATATTATGAAAGTTATCATTTTGTCTCTATGACATTACAAAATATCACACATTATAGAAATTTGTTGGAGATACCAAGTTAGAAAGAATGACATAGCACTTACAGCTGTTAATCTCAACTTTGGCGAGTATTGAAGCAGCTTTGATATAAAATCTACCGCATCAGGAGGCATCCTTTTATTGAAAACCTGCAAGCTGAAGTTTGCTTAGTAAACAACTGAGGCAAACTTATTATAGCAAGTGCATTGCCTTTGCTGACCTTGCTCCATGAGTGTCGTTTGATTTGAGGAAATCTGAACTCTGTGTAGTTTGGATTCATGCATTTAATTTCTTCCGTTGTTGGTGTTCCTAAAACCTTTTTGTTAGCAATAGAAATCAGTTCAGCATGATCAACAATAGGATAGGAAATGAAGGCAAACATAAACCAGATTTGCAGATAAAAGACCTTAACAATCTCCACCAGCTGATCAACAGCGCTGTCCCCGGGAAACAAAGGCTGCATAAGATATGCTTATCAAATAATTGAGATAAAGAAGAGAAATATTGTATAATTCTTGACTAAGGCTTCGTTAGACGGCTTTCTTTCTGCTTCTTAAAGCAGCTTTTTAGTATAAAATTAAGGTTTTGCTTGGGATGGCTTTCTTATTGCTTCATAAAGTAGTTTTCTAGCAAAATAAAATAAATTTTTTATACTAAAAAGCTGCTTTACAAAGCCGTAAGAAAGCCGTCCCAAACGAAACCTAAATATTTTTGTACTAGAAAGCTGCTTTAAGAAGCAAAAAGAAAGTGGTCCCAAACGAAGCGTAAGCTTCAGTACAACATCATTGCAAACCTGTCCTAAGAGAAGCTCGGCCAACACACAGCCAACGGACCACAGGTCAATTGCAGTGGTGTATTCTGTTGCTCCAAATATTAGTTCAGGAGCCCTATAGTACCGCGAGCAAATATAAGAAATATTAGGTTCACCTTGTACCTGAGGTTAAGTCAAGTTGTTAAATAAAGAACACCAAATTGTCAGCATAAACTATAGAGCAGATGACGTACCAATTTTTTGGCACTACCAAAATCACAGAGCTTTAGCTGATGAGTGTGGGGATTGACCTGCAAAGTCGAGCAAGTTGTAGTTTTTGCGAATTCTGTAAAAAAATTATATTTCCATCTAACAAAAGACTGAGTAAATGAACAACATAAACAAATAAGATAACACAGTGAAGAAGAACAAGGAACATGAAGTCAAGTAAAATGGTGAATGATGAAATCTATTACAAGTTGTAGTGATCATTGGCACATCAATTTTATCTATTTAAGGATTTACCCCTTCTACTTCGTAATATGAAGCCAAGTTAACTCGATCTACCCCTTCTACTTCATAATATTTTCACATCAATTTTATCTATTTTCTATATTTTATCATGTTCTACCCTTTGTTGTATATTTGCAAGGCACATAATGATGAGGACATCGTCAGCGATTTTGACACGTGTACCATCGGAGATGCCGGAGATCGACGGCCACAATCAGGAGTTTTATTTTAAGTCATTTTATGTAGTTGTTTATTTTATTTTTCAGTTTTTCCGGACCTCCAGCCGCCGGCCTCCAGCCGCCGACCTTCCCCTTTGCCACCACCCACCCGCCATAACCCCTCCTCCGTCCCCTCCATATTTCCCTCATTGCATTTGATTAGTTTCCTAATTTGGAGAGGTCACTTGGCAGAATTTCAAATCCAAAATTCAAATTTGCATTAGGAGTTAAATGCCCCCTCAATTTACTCCCTTTAATTAAGGAATTAATCGCAGCTTTAAATCTAAAATTTAATTCCAGATTTAAGGATTAATTCACTTAAGTAATTGGGGCTCACTTATAAATCAAACCCCTTTCCCTCCCTCTCTCCTAGGCCGGCCCCTCTTCCTCCTTCCTTTGCCTAATTAAGAGCCAATTAATGCTCCTAATTAACTCCCTCATTAACTCAAAAAATTCCCTCCACAAACCCTCATTTCAAATTCAATTTTTGGTTGGATTAGACCACAATTAAAAGCAAATAAATTCCGAAAATCTGAACCAATTTTAGATTTTCAAATTTTCTAGTCTATTTCTTCTCCTAACTGCCTCACCTCTCTTCTCCTCTTCCTACCCGAGGCTCCACATCCCTCATCCCTCTCTCCTCCAACCAACCTCAACTACCTCGCTTTCTACATTGATTTCATGGAGATGGATTCGGAATTAAGTTCCGTAATTATGCATGATTAAGAAGGTTCCACTGACGTACTCTTTCCTCGACCTTAATTCGGAGATCAAAGATTTCGTGGACGACTAGGACTACCAGAATCTCTGCATAATTCTTCCAGTCATTGAAGAACGATTACGACATATATATTGGCTACTCACGGGACGACCTCCTCATCCTCCACCACCGGCTACCTCTCCAACGGACTACACCTTGGGCGTCATTTGTCTCCTAGTGACATCGCTCGGTTTACTCTCAATCTTCACCGTCAAGAGCATGAGTGAGGGACCCAAGGTGAGGAGTTCTCTTTGTTAACTGTGGATTATTGTTTCTTACCATAACATTACTCTCTAATTATATGTTGTCAATTTGATATTATCCCGTTAATCTAGTTGTAACCGCATGCCTTACTTAATTTCGACTTGATAATTCTGAAAACCTAACTTGGGTAAGCATTAATTCTATAACTAGCAAAGCTTTAACAATCTTATATTAAAATCCTCAAGCAATTCTTGTTCCATGCATACGTATCACATCACATAATCTACTTTCTATTACTTTATCCTCTATGGGTACTAGTATAACCATTACTCATTCCATTCCTAGAATCCATCTTAGATTCTCACTCTCTCTCTCTCTCTTTTAAACTCAATTTAAATATTAGAAGATTCTTTGTTCTTCAACAATTGGATCCATGTAGTATTGTAGTTCCAACAACATATTTCTATAGTTCACTTTCAAGGCTACTTAATATTCTCATATCACACAATATTCCCAAGATATTTTTCTATTTTAACCATCCAAATATAGCTTTACAAGTTATGTCCATATCTATAACATGATTTCTATGCATAACAAATTGAAAATTCTTAGATCTACCGGATGTACATATCACTTATTCTTCCAATAATATTGAAAAATATTTATCAATTTCAAATTCTTTCAAATTACATATCATGCTTTAAGCTTTGAATTGATGGAATAAAATAAAGCAAAACAAGTTTAGGATAAAACAGTTACATAACAATGAAGAAAAGATAAATCATTTAATTAATTTAAGTGGTGTATGTTAAGCACTACCCAAGTGTTCATCACGTACCTAAAACAATTAAATTGGTCATATGTGCAAAGTGTCATAGTTAAGAAGAAAGAAAACATATTCAAATATTTCCCCGGAGCTTGTAGATTCAAAAATCCAAATAAAAGGTGAATGGTATCACGACTAAATTACAAAATAATAAAGAAGAGCATCTCTTACCAACAGATTTTGGGGCTTAATGTCGCGATGACATACTCCAACCACATCATGAACATAAGCAAGAGCACGACATATCTATCCTTAAACAAGATCAATAATATTAGAACGGACGAGAAGAAAGGCCAATAAATCATAAACAGCTTATTTTTTTAGGCATGTCATACACAAATAACCGTTACGGATTATATACCTGGTATGAATAAAGTCGAATGTAGATCAAAGGCATGTGTTGGTTAATCCGAAAATAATGCTTTGACAAGCGACAAATAGTCTCCGAGACGTATTCTAAAACAAGATTCAAGTATAGTTCATCCTTTTCAGTTGTTGAAAAGAAATGGTGATAAAGCTGAACAACATTTGGATGGGCAAGCAACTGCATTATCTGTAGCTCCCTATTCCTATATCTCTTATCTTGCAGCACCTTCTTAATGGCAACGGTTTTGGACGTTTCTAGACACTTGGCCTACACAGAGAGAACCACGTGATTATCCAAGCTCAAGAGCATATAGGATTGATCCAAATATATTAAAGTTAGTAATAATGACTCGGCATGATCCACAATAACATACTTTAAACACAACACCAAATGAACCAGTACCAACCACACGTTCAGCCATGTAAGAGATAGCCTGAAAACCAAAAGGAAAAAGTAACAATACTGAGAAAGTTGTTTTAGGAAATAAGTGAAAAGAAAGTTTGTTTTGTTCATCCCCTCAATGGATGTTTATACACTAAATTGTATAAAAAAATAATTGAAAACTAATAATTACAAAGAACTTAAAAATTAACATTCCTGTCCAAAGCTTCCTACCTTAGTGCTAAGCACAGAAATCTATGACACTTGTTTTCTTTTATCCAGCACTTAAATCCGTGGCTTTTTTTATTTCTTATTTGTCAGGCCTTAGACACCATCAACATTTCCCCTCAAATTAGATGGTAGAGATCTACTATTCCAAATTTGTTTAAAATATTTTTAAATATAGCGTTGCAAAGTCCTTTGAATGTTGATGACTTGACTTCTCGTTGAAATATATGAAATGCAAATTAATCCAAATCCCAGTTTCTCTTTCCTAAAATATTTATTCACCTCTAAATGTGTAATTCTATCATATAGTACAGGATTGTTGGCAATGTTGATGGCAAAATTATAATCATAGTATATTCTCATATGTCATTTCCATTAAATTTTTAAAAATTTTAATATAACTTTTTATATATCTTCAAAAATTTATCTTAATCAGGCACGAATCTCAAAGCAAAATCAAGTTGAAAATTTTCAAAATTAAATTTGGGATCATCCAAACTCCAATTTTAGCAAACTTATAGTCGAATTGAACGTCTCGAAAATACAAACTCAACAACACCAAATTCAACTCAATCCAAACCCAAATTGGTCTAAATCGAAGACCTGAAGCGCCTTTGGAAGGTTCAAACTATAAATTAGATGACCAAACGACTTCCAAACGTGATATGCTTATAGTCGAATTGAGCGGCTCGACGAGACAAGTCCAACAAGCCTAAGATACTCAAATTTTGATATCATTAAGGCATTTAAATGTCCAATAAATAGTCCACGAACAAGGAGATCAATATCAGTCGTCCATTCAAAGTTTCAAACCACTCCAACGTACCTTTTATCTCCCTCTTATTTACTGATCACGTCACTCTTAGAAAACTATAAATAGACCACTCATTCCTCATGAAAGGGGAAGGGAAGCAAGGAAGAGAAGGAAGGGATAGATACTAGAGTTCTGTTGCCACAAGACTACTCCTTGACCACCGTCAGGGCATTAATTGAATGACCAAAATTCTTTACCGTATATCAATGCCTTCCCCAGAGGAAGGGCTTCACTTACAATCAAATATAAATATTAATAGAATCATTTTAATGAGGTCGGGCCTCATGATTTTTTCCTTTATGGGATTTTTCAGGTCAAAAACTCTGATTTCTCTTATGGTTATTGTACTCTTCTCTTATTTATGTGCGTCCTAAATCTTTGTGCAAGATTAAGCTTCTACTGCCCCGAATGTTTAGGCATGCAACAATTATTTATTTTCAAATAAAGCAAGAAAGGTTATGCATTTAGGTTAATGCAAAACTAAAGGTACGACCAACTACCATGTCGAGATAAAAAGGTCCAGTTCTTAAAAATTGAAGCATAAGCATTCTACTTACGTCATTATGCAAAAATGTGTAAAAGAGTTCAGGCCTATGAGTTTGTGAAATTAAGCCGGAAACATATAAAATCCAACGAAGATGTAGTTCTCAATAGTACAGCAGAAACTGTATAAACTTAAAGTTTGAGTCCTTAAAAACTAGTCTGGAATAAGGATCAATTTCCAATTGCTATGTGCAAAATCACCTGTTTTGGCTGACCATCCTGATCATCAATTGTTGTTGTAATTATCTGACCAGCCTCAATTCCATTCCCTTTTAAGGTTCTACATTCCACTTCCTACATGCACATATAATGTAAGCAAATGTTAACAAGACAAATATGGTGATGGTAACTGCTAAGGATAACAATTCAATACCAAAAAAGGAAGAAATAATCTTATAGTCTTAGAAAAGGACAGCTGACCTTATCATCACCTAGTTCATCATCTCTAATTTTCATGCCCTGCAATTTCTTTGGAAGCAGATTGGCATCCTCCTTTGCATTTCCATTCATGGCACTAGAATTGGAGGAGCTTGTATTAGCCTTCAAATGTTTTGAACTTGCATTTCCATTCATAGCCATTGCTTTCTCTTTAACTTCAGAACACTTATTTGTCACTTTCTTGTTGCTCTTCACTTTCTTGGTGCTAGAATCACCACCCTATTACATGTTTGAATTAAACAGCGATGTCGCACATTTTTATTTAAAACATTTAGAAGCCATATCAAATCATATCATTTACTGAAACATACTTAAAATAAGAGCGAAAAGTCGAACAACTATAAAGCTCATTCATTTCATATTGCACCTCGCCAAAGTTGCCTTCAATATCCTATTCTTGCAATCACAAGAAATTAAAACGAACCATCAAAATTAGATCAGCACATATATTCCATGGCCTTTACAAATATAGGGTGTACTTAAAAGTAGTTTGGGTTGTATTATTGGTAAATAGGCAGCTAAGTGCGTACTTATAAGTTTTTAAATACTCCCAATTAAAGAGGAAGAGGGGATCAATCAATGGAAAAATGAATAAGTTCCCTTTTTCTTATGACTTCCTCTCCATCTTCTCAATCTCTCAAGTTATGGAGTTTCCTGCACCTTGACTTACCATTTATCTTCCCGGGTTTGTATCAACTTACCAATCAGTCAGCTTCTTCAAACCAATAACGATAAAGTATTTTTAAAAGAAAATTTAGCATTTTTAACAATTAAATACATTTTAAATGAGAGAAATATTGTTAAAATTTCCATTTCCATCAGGCATGGTATTTCATAAAGAAAAGTTGATCTACTTCACATGAGAAATCCATGAAATGTATGTCAGTTCATCAAATATAAATGATTCAGGCAAACAATTCCATCAACGTTCCCACCCATCAAACACGAGAAAGAAAACAAAAATCATAAATAAAAAAAAGCTTGATTTGTTAAAGAAAGGACTGGGGATTAGATACAAACTGTATTGCTGCGACCGAATGTGAAGCTTTTAAGCCTCCGCATCACATTCATCTTCCTATTTTTCCAAACTCCGACCTTTTTCCACCAAATCCCAAGGCAAAGCAACTAACTTTCTGTTTCTTTCCCAAATCCTGAAGAAGAACAACCAATCTCCCCCTTCTCCTCTCAACCTCCCAACGCAGATAGAGAGAAAGGAGGAAAGGAAAAAAAGTGGGTTCCGAATAGAAATGCAAACAAAAACGAAAAAACCTCTATTCTTGTCTGACTTCCTCGAATGCTTCTCTTTGTTTCCCTTCGCCTTTCTTGTTTTCAATTTCCTTTCTCGTAAACAGGTCAAAATGCGGCAGTTTTCAGCTTGACCGAAGTCCGCATGGCGAGGAGAGGGCGGCGACAACAACAACAAAAAGTTTTTTATCCCACTAAATTAATAGAAGTCAAATTTTAAAAAAAATTGTTTGGATTGATCAAATTATTATTTCGGTCAAATTTTGAATTTTTGATTACTCTGATTAATTCAAATAAAAAAATTTTAATTCAAAATTGATGTTGAGCTAAGCAGGTCATATTTAAGTTAATTAGATGATGTTGATCCAAAAATTATATAATCCATGTAATAAACGTTTAGATTATATTACTTATAATAAGTAGTAGTATTTAGTTCAAATGTGATAATTTTATTAACAAACAAAGATTTGGGTCAAACATATCCAGATTATTTCGACTATTTCAACATCATTTCATATATGAATCAAACTTGATATATCATCAAAAATTATCTTGATCGGGCACGAATCTCGAGGCAAAATCAACCCGAAAATTTCAAAAATTAAATCCAGGAGCATCTGAACATCTCGGAAATACGAACCCTACGACACCAAATTTGACTCAATCCGAGCCCAAATGAGTCCAAATCAAGGACCCAAAGCGTTGTTGGAAGGTTCAAACCACAATTTGAGTTACCAAACGGTTTCCAAACATGACGAGCTTATAGTCATATCGAGCGGCTCGACGAGACAAATCCAACGAGCCCAAGATCGGCGAATTCCGATATCATTAAGACCTTCAAATGCTTGATAAACGGTCCATGATCAAAGGATTCAATATCGACCGCCCATTTGAACCACTCCATAATTGCACTTGATCCCTCATCTATTTACGGGTCATGCCACTCCAGAAAATCTATAAATATACCCCTCATTTCTCATGAGAGGGACCCAAGCAAGAAGAAGCAAGAGCAAAGGGGGGAAGCAAGAAGAGGAGAAGATAAGAGTAAGAGAGAAGAGACTCCTCCTCGACCACCGCTGGAGTTCCGCCCGAACTCCAAATGACGCCAGAATTCTGCCTGACTTTTACAGGACGTCTGAATTCTTCCTGACTTCCACGGGATGCTGACATTCTGTCCAGGTAATGACAGAGTTCCCCCCTGACATGAAAACTCCGTCCAAGTGATGTCGGAGGTCTCCTTGACCACCAACAGACGTCGGACTTCTACCTGACGCTGGACCTTCACTATTTGCCAAGTTTCTACCGGACACCAGACTTCTACCGGTTATCTGACTTTAGCTAGATGTCTATCTAAAGATGGATTTCTTTTCATTGTTGGACTTCTACCTGACGTTGTTCTTTGACCTTCATCGTCAGACACAGTCCTTTCAACCTCCGTCGCCAGCCGACTACGGTTCTCTTGACTACGTCGCCCGCCGACTACAGTCTTTCTGACCTCTGTCGCCCGCCGACTATGGCCCTCCTGACTTACGTCGCCCGCTGACTATAGTCCTTCCGACCTACAGTCCTCCTGACATCTGTCTCCTACCGACTACAGTCCTTCCAAAAAAGCGAATGCGTCAATAATGACTCTTTGTATTCCCAACATATAATGTACTCTATAAAATGTACATCAAGCTAAGGCCTTCTCCCAAGGAAGGGCCTCATTTGTAATCAACAGTTATACTAGTGGATTCATTCGAACTGGGCTAGGCCACGTGATTTTTTCCCCTTTTCAGGGGTTTTCCGCGTAAAATTTTTGTGTCTCTGATGAATGCTACATACTCTCTTATATGTGTGCGTGCCGAATTTTCGTACAACGCTATTACGTAAAACTTTATATTTCTCTACCACCGCGAATACTCCTGGACGCAACAAAACTAATTAATTTAAAAGATACTAAGGTTTTGTCTGGGACGGTTTTTTTATTATTTCTTAAAACAGGATTACTAGTCCAAAATTTTTTTTTATTAAATATATTTTAAAAAGCAACGAAAAAATCGTCCCAAATGTAGCCTAAGTCTTTATCTGGAACAGCTTTCTTATTGCTTTCAAATGTAGTTTTTTAGTAGAAAAATTTTTCAAATGAAAAGTTTTTATAGCAAAAGCTGATTTAAAAAAATAAGAATGTCTTTTTTTTTGGGAAATAAAAATAAAAATGTCATCTCAAACGAAGCTTAAATCTCTCTAAATTTTATTTGGCAAATTATGCAATAATATCCTATTGACTTTATATGTATATATATAGTTATTAACTGTATATAATGATCATGAGTGAGAGTGTGAGACTATGATTTGATTCGATTGGTTATAGAAATGAAATATTTTATATAATGATTATTTTAGTTGTACTTTATCTAAATATACATAAATTATTATTTTTGAGAAAATTTTATGATATTTTCTTTAGTTTAAGTTGAATATTAATGTATACTTAAATTCAATAAAATTGTAATTTAATATATTTCAAATGTTTATGTATTTTTTAAACTAATGCAAATTTATGAAGATAGATATATTCCAAATAATCTTTAAAAATAATTAAATATTTATTTGATTTAGTAAAAAAATAGTGTTAAGTAAATTACCTTTTGTACAACAACTTTTTTTAAGATATTATAAAGTAAAATAATTGTGATAATTGATAATTAATTTCTTTTGCATTTTTGTAGTTGCTAATTCTATCATGAATTTGCAAAGACTAAATTTTAAGAAGAAGCATGAGCAAATAGAACATTAGTTGAAGGAGCAGATTATTACCAAAATTTAAAAAGAAGCAAAATAATCAAACTATTTGACTAATTCTATTGAATGCGCTAAACTGTTGGCTAATTACGAATACACCAAACAGCTGGCTAATTCTATTGATACACGGTTTTAAAATCAAATTGTGATGAATTAATATTAACTTTTGCAGGAAATTTTTTTTCATTACTTAACAAGATTATATGAGAGACTAACAACTATTAAGATGGGCATCTCAAAAAAACTTCTAAATTTCATATAACATCTGCTTACTAAATAATTAAGCTTTAAATTAAATATTTACTTAGGATAAATTGCTCTTAAATGCGGATTATTCAATTATTAAATTAAATATTTACTTAGGATAAAGTCAAGTTCAGGTCTCGCAGAACCAATGATTTATTTATTTATTTATTCTTTTTATTTTGTTTTTGTGCAACGGGTCTCGGCTAGAGACAGAAAATAAAGTTTTATTATTTTGATAGCAAAAATAATTCCTTCTTAAAAAATCGCCATTTGCAAATTAAATTTACTTTAAGAGTTCATTTAATTGCTTAAAATAAAAAAATATATATTAACTTTTTATAAAGTTTATTATGTTCATAATTAAATATAAAATTAAATTCAATATTTTTACTTACCTTGATAATCTTGACTTGTGTAGGAGCTCCCTCATCGGGTATCAATCCCCTTAAAATAAAAACCTTTTTTCAACATAATAAATACAATGCATGAAGAGCTCATTCAATTGCATGAAATCATTGAACCTCCATCGATAAAAATAAAAGCCAATTGAGTTCTATAATAGTCACAAATCACATAAATTATCATATTTCAATCAAATCATTAACTTAATAACACTAATCATAAAGAGAGGATAAAAAATGATTTATAATTAAGCTAAAAGCACCGATCGTTAAACATACTTTGATCCCCAAAACACAAATCCATAGACGAGAGCTTCGGTTCCATTTTTATCATTATTTTTTTAGGTACATATATAGGCTAATTAAGACAAACTCACACACATATTACATACGCAAGATCAGAACTCAATAACTCTTGATTGATAGCTAGCTAAAACTCACATCCAACAAACCAATATGAGCTGCGTATTTCCATCATTATCAGTGAATCACTTTACAATTTCAAGACAGCATGAATTACATTTCAACCCGCTTGAATATATTAAGGCTTCATTTAGAATAGCTTTTTCATTTATTTCTAAAGCAGCTTTTTAGTGCAAATTTTTGTACTGAAAAACTGCTTTAATAAGCAGTATGAAAATCATCACAAACGAAACCTAAGTACTCACAAGTAGTATTGTATTAGAACTAAAATATCATATTATAAGGAGAAAATTCAGTTTAAGTTATGTTTTTTTATAAAATAACGTATAAATAAATAAATAGCATATAAGGCAATAATAAAATGATCAATTACATAAGGGTGCATCAGTACAAAAGTAATGGAGATTGCAATAACAAAGTCAAAATTAGTATTATTAAAGCGTGATCATTACAACAACAACAACAACAATAACAAGTCTTCATCCCACTATGTGGGTCGGCTATATGAATCATTTTTCTCCATTATGTCATGTTAAGGGTCAAATTCTCATCTAAATCTAATAATGAAAGATCATTTCTAATATTTTATAACCAAGTCTTTTTAGAACCACCTCTATCTTTTTTAACATAAGCTAAATCTAATGCATCTACTTTCCTAATCGGGTCATTGGAAGGCCGCCGTTTTATATGGCTCAACCTGGAGCTCTCTCTAATTTTATCTTTCACTGGAGCTACTCCAACCTTTTTACGTATATCCTCATTTCATATCACGTCTTTAAGAGTAAAGCCACTCATCCACCTAAGCATCCTCATCTCTGCAACACTTAATATTATGCTTTGAGAAGCAAACTAGCTTTCAGATTAAAAATATAAATTTATAATACTCACAATAACTTTGAGAAGCCAACTAATTTTACAACCCAAATGAATATTCTTATCTAGATGAAACTAAATCTATCTTATCAGGCAAGCACTACAACAAACAATGAAAGAAAGAAAAGCGAAAAACATTTTTTTTTTTTTTTGGGAAATAAAGGCTGCTAAACCCAAATTGCTCCCAACACTAATGGCAATCCACACTGGCAAAAATAGAATCAAAGAGGCCCCAGGTGTAGAGCCAAAATGAGGAACTCTTAATCCAATAATATTGTACAGTAATTAATGTTTGCCACTATAGTATCAATATATCATATAACGATACATAATATTGAGAAATAAAGGCTACTAAACCCAAATTGCTCCCAGCACTAATGGCAATCCACACTGGCAAAAATAGAATCAAAGAGGCCCCAGGTGTAGAGCCAAAATGAGGAACTCCAGCACCACCATCATGTAAAACTCGCAAAAAAACTGAAGGAGATAAAAAAATCAAGGATACAAATACAAATCAAGTTTGGAAAATCAGGGCAGAAGAACTAAGGCATGAAATCCGTCTCCTCGAACAATGATTCAAAAAATCATCTTTTCGTTTTCTTTTTCGTTACAGTCAACTTAAATTTTGTTTGGGACTACTTTCTAACAACTTCTTAAAGCAACTTGTAAGTACTTTTAATTTTTATACTAAAAAGCTATTTCAAAAAGAAGTAAGAAAACCGTCCCAAACGAAACCTTAGTTATCATCAATTTCTTCATCACTGAACACTCGAATCCACATAACATAGCTAGCCTAACTACATGATTACAAAATGAATCCTTAAATCTTGATGATATCTATTATCGTATGGTACTACTAAAATATTTCTCTATTTTAGCTAGTATTAAATTTTAGGGGGGATTCATATAAATGATGCTTAAATTTCCTCTATTTCCATATTTAACACATAATTCTCATTAGTTATCTACATATCACTACATTTTTAGATAACATCAAATATTCCACTTGTTTTTATTCCAATAAAATTTGCATCTCCTCCATTTTACACTTCAAACATCTAAATACATTTGAAAGGAAAAATAATTCATTGCGGACAAAAAACTAAAATAATTCAGCCAACATTGAGCATCAATAATATGTCATTCATCCCTACTTTGAATGTGGGTAGAATGAAACTCAATGAAGAAGTCAGAATAAGGGACTAACATGCTATGATATTTCCTAGCCAAGGAGTTACTTCAAGTTTGTTTGGTTGAAGGCATACTTAAACTTCATTTGGGACGACTTTCTTACTGCTTCTTAAAACAGTTTTCTAGTGCAAAGTATAAGGGACTAACATGCTATGCTATTTCCTAGCCAAGGAATTACTTCAAGTTTGTTCGGTTGAAGGCATATTTAGACTTCATTTGAGACGGCTTTTTTATTGCTTCTTAAAGCAGTTTTTTAGTGCAAATTTAAGAAGCAGAAAGCTGCTTTAAAAAGCAGTAAGAAAGCCATCCCAAACAAAACCTTTGCTGTGATTCCTACAGAATATACTCAAGTGAATTGGTCATATGATAAACCAAGTTCCTACAAAATTTAAGTGGCTAAATTGACCATATAAAAGTTCATAAGAACTAACATTTATTGAACTTCGATTGAACTTACCATTCTATTTTAATAACCTTGCATCCTCTCTGATAATCAGATTAAACAAATCTCAATTTACACAATGAGAGAATCATCATATACTAATATTTTTCCTGCTGGCTGCTCAATACTCTTGCTTGCAAATGATGTATTAATCTCATGTCACATTTTGAGGCTTATACAAATCAATGAATCAGAGAAAACCTTTAAGATTTTATCCAATAAAACCAATTCACAACTTCTAAGCGTGAACTTACAACACTAGGCTTTTAATACCTTATTAAATCTTTGTATCATCTGGGTTTTTTGCCCCACAGTCTTCCATAACAACAGCTACAAATACTTCGTGTAGATTGTCATGGTCAAAAGAAAGAAAGTATCTTTGCACACAATTACATCTTCTTCACCGAACTTTCTTTCTTTCTTTCAGATGATCAGATTTCCAATGTTCAGAATCCAGATTCAGTTATAAATCTACTTACAAAAGCAATCACCTTCCATCCTCACTCAATGAACTGATTCTCAACGCCGGAATCCGAACCACTGCCACTGCCTTCTTCATCACCACCATAGATAGCATCCTCATCCCCAAAGAACTCCTTTCTATTCAACGCAGGCACACACTGAAACCCATCATCTTGTCTCCCAAGGCTCGTCAGCATCCTATCAAAATTGGCCTTCTTGGAGCTAATCAGAAGCAGCTCCCTGAGCCTTTTCCTAGCTAAATACACATCATTTGGCTCCAAAATCTCACCTTTTCTATAAGCCTCCCGAAGAAAAACAGTGTGCAGCTTCCCCTGATTCCCTCTTGTCGAAATGTAGAATATCCCTTGATGTTGAAGTAGAAACTCCTTTAACTTCTTTGGAAGCCCCATGGCCTGCCTGAAATGTGCTATCCTCTCCAGCGTCGTCCTTTTCTCAACAGTTAGTGACAGAAACTCATGGATGGAGGCCACAGCACGCTTCTCCATCCTCCGCTGGGCTTCTAATGATCTAAGGTCGTAGCTTGAGACGTCTTCGTACGGAGACCAGTAAGGAAGACGCTGCCACTTCCATACAGCGATGCGGTAGTATTTCCCGATTTTGAAGCCAGGAGGGAACTGAATGGGGAAGGCGAACCGGGCGTCTTCTGCGTCGGAGCCCCGCGCACGGTACTCGCGCTCGCGCGCTAGCTCGACGGCAGCGATAGGGAAGGGTTCGTCGGGATTATGGACTGCTTCGACGAACTTGAGGCGGGGTTCAGCGTCGGGGCCGGAAGGGGAGAGGAGGCGGAAATGAGTTGGGTGGGAAAGAACGAGGGATTGCTCGAAGTCCTCCGGGAGGCCAAGGTCTGCGCGTGCGAGGCGGATGTGTTCGAGGCGAAGGCGGTAGGAAGGGGCGGCGAGAAGAAGGAAGCGCCGAAGGCGGGAAACGGCAGAAGAGAGGGGGGAGGAAAGGGCGTCGGATTCAAGGCGGAGTTGGTTGAGAGCGCGAGGGGTGAGGCGGACGTGGAGGACGCGCTGGACGGGGTGTTCAAATACGTGGAATACGTGAGGGTGGCGGAGGAGGAAGGACGAGGATTCTTGTGGGGAGAAGCGGTGGTGGCGGCGGGCAAGGGTGTCCAACCGGGAGACAGGGAGGCTGCCGGCGGGATGGGAGAGGATGAGCTCCTGGAGCTTAAGAGCGCGCCGGACCTTCTTTTCGACTTCCATTAAGTCGTCGAAGGAGTGGTCGCGTACGCGTTGGAGTTTCTTGGGGATGGAGGTGGACTGCGATTTATGCCGGACGCCGGCGCGGAAGACGGAGGAAGGGAGACGCGAGAGCCAAGTTGAGAAAGACGGCATCTTTACTGGATTAGAAATGGTATTAGGGTTCTAATGGGTCGAAGCGGAGAAAGTGGGAAATCGGACCGCATGATGGCCGGAAAAGAGTTGAGGAGCAAGGAAGGCCGGACGGTGCTTGCTCGCAAGCTTCACGAGCCATCAGAAATTCAGAATTTGGTTGGATTATAGGGTAAATTATTTCAAACCTAGAGTTTTAAAATTTTAGGTACATGGTTAGAAGAAAAAAGAAATGCTAAATAAATAAAAATGAAGTCAATTATTTTAGTTTGATTTTTTTTTTTTTTTAAGTAAATCAAATTTGTTCAGTTCTCTGTCCATCATTTTTTGCCACCTCCACCAACCTCCTGGCACCATCATTAGTCATCGCTATGGTCGTCAACCCAATTTGCTACCTATCGTTCGTCACCCTCACCGCCACCCCCCCAGCCATCATGGCCGCTACTCACTGCCATCGGCCACCACCACCACAGTCTCTATAGTCGGCTAATATCATTCTCATCAACTATTGTCCATTGACATTATATTTATACTTTGCACTATATTAATTTTATTTTAAAAAAAAAATCATTTACCTTTATACCAATCTAAATATCTCCAAAATATTCATTTTATATTGTATTCCTTTTACAATGCATTCATTTACATTGAATTACTTTTTCGACCAATGAACAACCCCCTAACAAATGTATAAGATCAATGCTTATGCCCTCCTATTCATAATCGAAAAAAAAAATGTTATATTTGTTATTTTGTTGTGTTGGAGCATTCGTGGAGGTGGAGAGATGAAGTGCTTAACGTACTAGCTTTATATGAAAATCCAATACACATACAACATAAGAGAGATAGAGAGAGAGAGAGAGAGAGAGAGAGAGAGAGATAGCTGTAAGTGTCATGCGTAACATCAGAATTTTTACGTGAAAAACTGTTAAATGAGAAAAACACACAGGGTCCTGCTTAATTGAAATGAACCAACTAGTTTTTGTTGTTCATTACAAATTATGCTCTTCATCATGGGAAGACGTTGGCACAATATACATATATAGAGCATATTACATAGTTGGATGGAGGTCGGAAGGACTTTAGTTGAACATTACTTATTTGGAGTTGGAGGAATCCATTGACATGAGAAATATTCTCGAGAGAATGTTGGCATATTCGTCTGTTTGATAGGATTTTAGTCGAGGTTACGGTGGTCGGAGGAACCATAATTAATGGGCCCTAGAGGTCGAAGCAACCGTAGTCAGCAGGCTACGGTGGTCAAGATTGTAGTTGGCGGATGATGGTGGTCGGAGGGACCGTAGTTGGTCAGAGGGATCGTAGTCGACGGTGGTCGAAGGGACCATAGTTGGTGGACGACAAAAGTCGGAGTGATCGTAGTTTGCAGGCAATGGTGGTCGGAGTGATCGTAATTGGAGGGCCACCAAGATCAGATTAAGGCCTGGTGTTGGCTAGTGAACGGAGGTCTGAGGGCGATGGTCGGGCAGAGATCCATCAATGGGGGCCTGGTTGGATGGTTTGCTGACAATAGTGCCAGGGTGCAACTTCAGAATTTTTCAAGCCTCTAACCATAGGTTTAACTGAAGGCCTAAGCCTTTATATATATATATATATATATAATAACAACTTTAAAGATATAATGAAGTTTCTCTATCATAATTGATTAAAATATACTCTCAAGCTCTACAAAGATAAAAACTAATTAAATATTAAATAAGTCATAAGATATAATTTGTGACAATAATAGTTTCGACTTTATCTATATTAGAATCTCCCATTAAACAAATGAAGTTGGGGGATGGATTTATGGTTATTAGAAGCTCCCTAATAACCCTTTCATCAAAGCTTAATAGACGTGGTGCTCTTGATATCATCATTGTCCCATTTCTTAAATACACATATTGAGTTCGGATGGAGAAATTATTATGTGCGGATGCCGAACATCGTTCGGAGACCAACCATAATGCGCCCTTATCCCTTCGCTGTGTACTGCGGCTTAGTACTGCTCGGTACCATGGCTCGATACCATGACGTGGCTACACTTGATTCGCCTCCTGATGTAGACTTGTGTCTGATCTCCATACAAAATAATTTCTCATTCGGATGACACTCTTCAAAAGCCCATCTCATAAGGCTGTCCCAAGTAAATCAGGGAGTTATATATTTAAGGAACACCTCTTAAAAAAGAATCTGAGTGTTTCTCATGATATGTCTAAATTTTTATATGAATCTTCAAAATTCATATTAAATCAAGAGTTAAATTGATCAACACAATAATATTGATCTAATTTCTATCATTTTTTATTAGGATATTCACAAGAAAAATGTCATATCCAAAAGTACTGGTAAATGTACGAAAAATAATTTAATTTTTAATCCAAAATCTTCTTTTCTAAATAAGTTGAGCCTGAATAAAATATTTGATCATAATGTATTTTAGATATTTAATTTTATAGTAAGATAAATATAATATAAATTTTTAATTTATTATTTATAAGTAACACTCACTTTAAAATAAACTTAGGGGCCGTTTGGTTGGAATACTTTTACTTAATGGTGTAAATTATTATAAATAGAAGGGTTTCAACAAATTTGATATTTGTTTGGACGAAAAAGGAATTCAAAATGAAGTAAAATGAAAATGGAAACAATTCTAGTTCATTCATGAGTTAAAGCAAACTCGCCCAATTTTGAGTAAAAACTATTTTATTGCAAGCAAGCTCGCTTGACCGCTGTCGACTACCATCTCCTGCCACCTCCACCGACCTCATGTCATCATCGCCGACTGCACCTATTAGTTGCCGCTACCGCCTCCCTCCAACCACTGCTCCCCCTCCCCCCTTGATGACCACCACCAATTTGACTCTTTGGTTGTCGTCACTGTGATTTTAAAATTTTATACTATATTTATTTTATTTTAAATCAAACAAAAAATTTATTATTATATTACACTTATTCAAATAAACTCCAAAATATTCCACTTAAGCTGCATTACTTTTAAGTTGTATTTCATTTTACGGATCATTCTTTTACCAATCAAACAGACCCTTAACGAGTTTGATATTATCACAATAAATATTGGTTTTCATCTAACCGTTCAAACCGAAATTAACGGGTGAGATCCTACTCTTTGATGACTTGAGAAAAAAAGAAATATCGGTAATATTAGTTTAATAACCTCTCTCGAATTCTATCGGATTTCAATTCTCAAGCAGAAGGGAAGGACAGGAAGGGAAAAGGGTTCTCTATCTAGATCCATGGGGTTTTGGGTAACAAGCCTAATCTTCCTTCTCGCAGGCGTCATCGGCGCACTCTCCCTCAGGCTCTGTTGCAACCGAGGCCCTTCCACTAATCTGTAAGCTTTTCTTTGCCCTTCATCCGTGCTTTTCTCGGCTCTGGATGTTGATTTTTTTGGGAAACTGCGAGGAACCGAATGGATATTGGCGCCGAGGTTTTTGAGATATTTTGTGTTTTACGAGTTGTTGACTGTGATGTTGATCTGGAATCGTGTTACTTTTTCTACTGCTCCTGGTCTTGTTTATAAGTGCTAGAGCTTGTAGTTGATGGCCAGGCTGTGGATTGTGAGCGTGTTGGATTAGGTATTTGATGCATGGAAAAGTTGCATCTTTGACGTCCATCGGTTTGAATTTAGAGGATACGAAGAAAATGTTCTTGGAAGTCAAGCGGCATTTCCTGTCACAAATGTTACCATTATAAGGCTTTAGGGTTTTTTGTCTACATATAGGATTTAATTCAAGGAGGATATTTTACATCTTGTAAATCTAGATTTAGTGGATTCTGCTGGTGTTAATCCTGAAAAATGTTTGGCAAGATGGATGCTCTGGTGAAATCCCAGTAAATTGTTTCGTGGCTATGATTAAGATTTTTGTTTTAAATGAATGGGAAGATGCGGCACAGTAAGGAGAAGTGATGTAAATTTCTTAATTCCTACTTTCCCTAGGATTTACTAAATCCGGGAAATGGAAGAAAGAACTTAAGAAGATATTCGGATTTATGTTACTCAAAAAAATGTTTGGTAAGATTTAAACATAAATCCAGTATAAATCTTGCGACCTAACAGCCCATAAAAGTCTTTGAACGTCTTCAACAATTTTGATTTCAGGTATTCTTTTAGTTTATCATCTAGATCTTGCAGTGCTGGCTCACGATGAGTTTTTTACAGTAATGGATAAGTTTGGATGACCTATGGTTGCCATAAAATAAAGATTGATGTGCTATGTTTCTTATCCTTATCGAGGAACACTGTATGTGAATTTGAAACTTAGCTGTTTTGGGAAGGTTAAAGCCTAGGAAAATTGCTCATACTTTTTTTGTAATTGAGAATGAATTTATGCAGTTCATTAACTTTGTACATGATTTAAATTGAAACTGATAATTAGGAGGTTTCATGGATGAAATTTGAAATTATTATTATTTAGAACATTACAAGGAATCCAGCAATATGAACATGTAATCCAGTCTTGCAAAGAGGAGAGAAAAATCTAAAGCCATGTAGATGTATTTTAGAAATGTAACTTTATGATACTTTTACATGTGATTTATATATGTAGACCAAATATAGAACAAATTATTTCTAAGCGTCCTTCAATCATTCTCCACCAAAGTTATTTCGAGTGATTACCACTAATGGACTTGCCTTTTGTGATAAGAAAGTGTTATGAAGTATATCCTTTTTTATTAGTTACTTAAGGTCTTTGTGCACCAATGTGTCATGCTAATAACAAGCCGCAATATCTTATGTGTTACCTAGACTGTTATTTGAAAGTTACTTGCACCCATTGGCACCAATCCTATGTGAATTGGCTTTTGCTTTACCTTAATAAATTTGAAAAACTTTATTATTTTATTTTCCTTAACATACAGAGGTTGCAATTAGAGAAATAAGTGTGTGATCAAGGGTTTTAAAATTGGATCGGACTAGTTGGCCCGACTAGTTTGACGATGAACTATTCATGTGGTTGGTTTGGTCGCTATGGAAAGTCTGTTTTGCATTGAATCGGCTCAAAATGGTAAGAACTAATTGTTTAACTATTGAATCATCGAATCTTTTTCGATTTAATGAACCACCTTATTCAAATTTTGGCTCATTAATCACCATGAATTTGCGAACTAACTTCTACGAGCTAGAAATTGTTATGTTAAATAAATTTATAAAAATCTTTAATTTAAAATAGGGCTAGTTTTAGAAATAAACTCATTTTAATTTTGTGATTCATTTTCATCCTTTGCAATTCTTCTGCAAGTAAATTATAATAAGAATTGGTCAGCTGAGTAGTTTAAATAGTGGTTAGTAATATTAATATTGAAGTGCTTAAATTAAAATTATTGAAGATATTACTTGTGTATAATATATATTTCATAATGTAATTTGTTTATTTTTTTTCCATTTATTTACATTATTGCATCATTATTACATTGATTAGGCCATATTTAAATAATTTTAATATGTTTTAAGTCATTCAATTCAACCCTGATTGAAACTTTGAACTTTGAATCTCACGTTCTTCTGGTTCCATGTTTGATCTCATTTTCACAATCTTATGTGTGATAGTTTCTAGATTGAATCACTTATAATAAGCCACTGCATCCATATCGAGGAAGTTGAAGACACATAGGATATAACAGCAACCAACATCTATGTTACTTGCTAATTGAGGGATTAATGAGGCAGAAATCCTAGCTACAACTATTATTTGTCCGTAAGGTTTTATATTTATTTGGGGCGTGTAGTAATTGTGTTAGCATTTGCTGATTTCTGTGCACTCATTATTTTTTCTTAGGCTAGTTCATTTGTTTTGTTTCTTTTTTTATGTTATTATGAATGGTGCTGGCAATTTCACTTTTATCTCATCTTCATATCTCTTCTTTCCCCTTGCATCCATTCATCCTCCGCTCCTCTTGCCTTCTTTTCTAGTCTACATCGGAATAAAGGAGCAGCAATATTGTAAAGTGGTAGAAAGAATGGATGCGAGGAAGAATAAGAATATTAAAATTGTGTCGCAATTGCAAATGCCTTCAACTCTACCCTCTTTCTTCATGCAGTTAAGCTTTGGTGATGCATTTCCATTTATTAAGCATTGTAAACTAGTCTAAAGTATTTAGTTTAGAATGGATGCATCAAATTAACTAATAAGATATGAAATTTAGTTGATATGCGACTCTAACATTGTTATTTGGCTTTTGACTGGATTGCAACACTTGAAAGTTTAGGCACCCTCCATGGTCACTAAGAATAGCTTGAAGCTCTTAGCACTTGTTATGCATTGTGTATGTAGCATGTATACTCCTATTTACGATCCATGCTGTATCAGACACATGTCGGATATGAATACGCCTCCGATACAACACGGATACATTTCGGATACGGCTTTGCCGTGTCCAATTAAAATATTATTTAAATTTGATTAAACACACATATCAGATACGCGTGTCATATTAAAAACAAAAAAAAAAGTATAAGAACTTGGTACCGCTCAATACTCGGTACTGCTCGATACCGTTTGGTACTCGATACTGCTCGATACCGCTTGGTACTCGGTACCGCTCGGTACCAGAACTCGGTATCGCTCGGTACTGGAGCTCGGTACCGCTCAGTACTCGGTAATGCTCGGTACCGGAACTCAGTACCGCTCCGCAACGCTCGGTACCATGCTCAGTATCAATGCTCGGTACCGAGAAGTACCGAATGGTACCAAGAGGCACCGAGAAGCTAGAGAAAGCTTTAAAACAACTCTTACAATAAAAATGGTACCAAGTGGCACGAGAATGGTACCAGGTCGAACCCCGCCAGGGGGCAGCGCACCCTTGACCCCCCGGCATATCTGCGACTATCTACACTTTTACTTCTAGTGACATAGGAATTGGGTCTGATGATGATCTAGCATAGACCAATTCAATTTTTATTGTCATTTCAAATATTACACTTTGATTACTTTCTTAATTTTTATGTATGATTTATATATTATAATGCCGTATCTGCGCTGTATCCTGTACTTTTAAGAATTGATGTGTCCCGTATCCGTATCCGTGTCGCCGTATCCATATTGGTGCAACATAGTGCATTGTTAATATTTAGTATTTGGCATCTGGAATGCGGCACTTTAGGTTGCAAATTGAAGTGGTCTTCTTGGTTGCCGAAGAAATTGAATCTTCAGAACTTATTTTCTTTGTTGACATGCTGCTTAGATAGCAACAATCATATACTTCTATAATTGGCAGATTGAATAGGATTTTCCGTGCATCTTGATATCCATGAACTGTGTAGCTCTGTTTTTCCTATTTAGCTTATTTTGATTAAGAATTCTCAAAATTCTCGATTACCTAGAGACTTATAACAAATATATGGTTATTTAAGTTTATAGCGGCTACTGGTAGATGATTAATAGTTTTTTTTAACAGGTTGCATTTCACATTGGTAATTACGGCTACAATATGCTGTTGGATGATGTAAGTTCTCACAATAACCAGTCTATAGAAAATCGTTTCTATATTATGTCAACAATTTTATTGTTTCTCTTATCTGTCACTGTTTTGGTTAGGATTACATATGCTTTCTATGCTTGTTTGAAATAATGCTGAGCGGACATTAGGTTACATTGAACCCTTTAGAAATAAATTACTTTGATCTATTTTGAGATAGTTTTCCTTTAAATAATGAATAGCAAATTCCTTTTAAATCAAAAAAGTATAAGTGGATGCATGCAGAGAGTATAGATGGTGTATCAAAGCTTATTAAGGTCATGATGGGTTTGGTTAACATCAAATGTTGTGAAGCAATTGAATGATGTTTCATATAATTTTTAAACTAATGTGACTTTTTAAACAGTTCATTATAGATTTAGTTACGAAATATTTTTGGAGCTCTTATAAATTTGAGTTTAGGAAGAATTCAAATTATTACAACTTTTTATGATTGTTAAATATTGTAAGGCTTTTCATATAAAATATTTAATTGATAGGCTTCGCATACCCAATGTTATTTTACTGTCAATCAGATTAAAATGTACATTGCTCTTTTTATTGCCCATTATTGCGTTAGGCAGCAGTATAGGGAAGTCTGACTGCAAATTTTACATCCCTTCATTTTTTTCACCTTCTTTTTCTATCTCTTACTTTTCTTCCATTATTAGATTTTATTTTACTGTTATGAATCTTATGATTCTCTAACAAGAGATGCTTGAGCACTTTATGTAAATTTGATGTTTGTTAATATGCATGCATCAAGATTTGCAATGATAATTGCTATAACCCTGCAAAAAATTGATGTGCGCAGAAATACTTCCTTTAATAAGTTAAACAGCTATTTGAATTGTTGTAAACTTGTAAAGCATGGTGGCCCGGCAGCATACGTTGTATGTGATTCCTGTCATAATTTTTTCCGAAGATAGATCTTTTTTCGTAGGCAGCAGGAGCTCCTTTTAGCCCTGGTATCAGTATAGATTTATGAAGAACTTGTATTTCAAGAAGATAATGCTGGATTATGTAATTACATGTCATTTGAATCCTTGCTGGCTGTGATTGATAGTTGAATGCTAATGTTCATCTTTGTGAACTCAACCCATTTTAGTTATTCCTATTTGAAACCTGATTAGATACATTTTATATGTATAGTATTGACCTTGTGTTTAGCACACATTCTCTTGAGCCTACCTCCACTCTTAGTGGGGTATTCCTTCATTGTTCATGATCGTCGTTAGCCTTAGGAGCCATCGACCGAGTATGATTTCTTGAGTCTTTATTGCGACTACATGCGGCAATAGCTTAAGTCACCCCTGGCCACCCCGATTCCTCGTCATTCTTTGGATTCCGTGATTGCGTTGCATTTGTCATTATGTTTGAGGAGGCATGTGACGAGTGTAATAGTGAATTATCGAAGTTTTCTCGTACTTTTGTGCATAAAGAGTCCCACTTGCATGAGATTTCTTGCACGCAAAAATTTCTTATCGAGTTATTGTTTTGTGAAATTGACTACACGAGCGCTCTGGATCGTCGAGATATTTCAAATGAGCCCGTCCATACTTGAATCGGGCTTCATTTGACGTGCATCGAGAGTTTAAGTAGGTTATTCTTAAAATATTATATAATTAATCATTTACTTAATCAATTTAAATACATATATACATTTATTATGATATATATATATATATATATATATATATATGTATGTATGTATGTTATTAATTTATATGATTATTTAAATAGTTTCATATCAATAAAGATTTTCCATCCGATTAAAGTGTAAGAAAAGCATATCTCTTCGGGCAATTTAAATGCTTTAGTAAAGCTCATCTATTAGGTCATCAAATATTTGTAATACCTATATTATCCATTGAGATATGTAGGCGAAAGTTACTATTTTTTTCATAGTGTATGCTTATCTTTACTCTTTCATTGGTTTGCTTGTATAGAGTGTAAAAGTCTATGACCGTCTTGTACAACGAGATAGTGCGATCGTACTCTTTGCATTCTAACCTTTGCGAGTAGTTTCACATTTCAGAGATCCACAAATTTCTGGCGATCATGGTGGGACATGTTTCTCTCTCCATCTTCAAATGCTATATTGTTCTCTTCCGTATGTACTTCTGATTTGGTGCTCCTTAGTTTAGGTTTTCCTTTCCTAGCCTTATTGGCTATTCCACCATTTTTTTTCCAAATTATCTCATGGTTTTGTCTTGTGCTAATCGTTCCAATTCTTAGCAGACATTTTCATGGCCTACTCTGGCCCTTTTGTTACCTTCTCCTTTGGCTTGGACTCTAGGGAGTTGAAGGTAAACTTGAATTATGGAGGTCAACCTTAGAGTCTAAAAGTTTTCATTTGAGTAGATCTAAAACTAAATACATGGAGTGTAATTTTAGTAGTAATAGATCTAGTGGGGGACTGTGACTTTGGGAGATCAAGTCCATTAGTAAGAGTACACGTTTTATATATCTTGGTCTATTGTTCAAAGTAATGGTGAAATAAATGGGGATATTATTAGAAGAATTCAAGTTTGATGGTTGAAGTGGAGGAATGCATTGGGCATGTTGTTTGATAGAAGGTACTCAAACTTAAGATAAAATTCTATAAGATGGTGGTGAGACCTGCAATGCTCTATGGTGCAGAATGTTGGTATTTAAAAGAGAAACATAAACTTAAGTTAAGTGTTGCAGAGATGAGGATACTTAGGTGGATGAGTGGCTTCACTCGTAGAGATAGAATGTGAAACGAGTACATACGTGAAAAGATTGGAGTAGCTCCAGTGGCAGATAAGATTAGAGAGAGTCACTTTAGATGGTCTAGCCTTTGATGACCCTATTAGGAGAGCAGATGTATTAAAATTGGCTTATGTTAAAAAAAGATAAAGGTAGACCTAAAAGGACTTGGTTAAAAAATATTATAAATGACATTTCTCATTAGATTTAAATGGCAATTTGACTCTTAACGGGACACAATGGAGAAAAAGGATTCTTGTAGCCAATCCGATATAGTGGGATAAAGGCTTGATGTTGTTGTTATTAAAATCTTAGTCCTTCTTTTAGTGGTTGAACCCCTTGTTTATTTTTGGAGTTTGAGCTTGAGCGATTGGATTAAAAATATTCTCTTTAGCGACTTGAAGCCCTTGGTTTTTTAATTTTGTTTATTTATTTTTAAATTTAAGAATCCTTCAAAAGCTTTTAAATCCATTTGGAATTCTAAAGTCCAGAAAATTTATGATATTGGTATCCTTTTGGATCAAGGCTTCTCCTTCTATTTTCTTTTGCTTTTATAAAAGATCACAATTATGTTTCCCTCCAAGCCAAGCTTTGTTCTTGGGCTTCATCATTCACTTCTCTTTTTTTTTTCAAGGCTCGAATCCTAGTTGCACAATGTTCTAGATGTCTTCTAAATTGAGTGGTAGCACCGATACTACCTAAAGCAAGACTTTTTTTGCAATGGTAGCATTCTCCTTTCGTTGACCATCAGGCAAAATAACCTCCTTGAACTAATCCCACACCTTTGATGTCTTCTTCCTTTTCTTTCTTTCTATATCATTTTCAAGCTGGTTTTCTTCATCAACTTATTTGTCATCATTATCTTGATTTTCAGTAGTCCATCTTTGTCATCATCATCAATGTCATTGTTATCATTAGTTATTTAATTCTCATTCATAGGTTCACCAACACTAAGTTGCTCATCAAGTCTTTCAACTTCAACATTTACGGGCTTAGTGTTATTTGCTTCTACGCTTACAGGTGTTGACATTCTATAGAAATATTTCAAATAAAACGAGAAAAAAGATCAACCTCAACTTCAAAAACCTACTGAATAATGCATAAGATCTCTATAAAATATTAAGCGTATTTAGATTATTTATGCAATCAAGGTCCTTGCAGAACCATCACTATAACATCAAAAGTGAGAATCTTTTTTAAATATTTAGCACATAAACTAATATGCATCAGTTCTCACAGAATATAAAATATGTGCACCACATATCAATCTACCATAATCACTTAAAGAGCAAATTCACAAAAATGTTACAGAACAACATAAAATAGGACAAGTGAAGTAGTTGTCTACAGACGACAGTTTACATGATTCCTCTTGGTAATGGCTGTTTTTGTTGCCTGAGAACTTCAGACCATCCAAATATACTACATCATTACCATAAGAAAAATATGATAAAGAGAAATATATATGTGCATGTTATAAATAGAACTTAAAAGGATTGAAAACGGAGATGCATGCTTGCAAATACTTAAAAAAAAAAAATGCTCGCAAATACACAACAGAAAAAAAAAAAAAAAACTAGACCTAGCTTAAAGGATTGAAACCTGAAATGAGAGGAACTTTAAATAAGTGGAGAAGTGCTTGGAAGTAACAAAACCCCAAACGATTTAACACAGAAAATTGAACTTAAAGTTATCGTGAAAACACACACTTGTTGTAGTAGGGGAAATATAGAGAAGAGGAAGCAAAAAAATTGCAAAATTTTTTGATTCTATGGATTGTTACTGTGAAAAACCAAATCCGACGAGAAACGACGGGTGAATGCCAACGAACAAGAAGAACAGACATGAAGGCACAGTTGTCTAAAGTGTTGGCGATGGGAAAGAGATAACCCTAACGGGCGAAGAGAACCTCGAAGACGAAGTCACAACCTCCGGCCATCTCGCGTGAAGTGCGGAACTGCGGATCGCGGTTTGTAAAATAACTGAGCGGCGTGCGGCTAGGGTTTTTACTTTCGTTCACTTAATATAATATTATATATTATTTAAAAATAATAATATAATATAATTATTTAATATAATCGAGTAGCTTGACAAGCTTTCGAATCAAGTCAGTCTGAGCTCGAACTTGAGCTCGTTTTTTAAACAAGCTTGATTATATGCTCGAGCTCGAACTCGAAGCTTGATAAGCTCGACTTGCGAGCTCATTAATGAGTCGAGTTCGAGCCGGCTCACGAGCCGGCTTGGCTCACTTACAC